CCAGCGCCCCACTCTTAAGGAATACATAACGGCGACGCTAGCAACTTTGTTACTTAGGTTGGAATAAATTGAGACCCCCCCTAAATGAAAAAAAAATCACTGACCGCCGCACGTACCTGGCACTCCTTTAATTATAATGGGCGCTATTTGGGGACCCGACAGTAGCCGCCCATGTGAGTACATGCAGAAGCCCAGAATCGCTGTTGTGCAGCCAATCATCATCTTAACCGTCCACACGTCCGACTCGCCTGCGTGGGGTTCCGAAGTCATAGGGGTCCAGGGGTTAGAGTGGTGCGCAGCAGAAGGACCACTGCAGAAGAACGGATACGGGCTCTGAGCCAGGCATGCTCCGGGGATGCGCCATGGCAGAGAAAAGCTTAACAATATGTTCGGGATTTTCGTATCGCAGCACCCTCCCGTGGTACAATGCATTACAAGGTATGGCAATACGACTGCAGGACGCACCAGACGGCGGTGTGGAACCCCTGACAACCCTTGTCAAAGCGTGCAGCGGGCAATGGGGGAGACGTGTGCAGAGATGGCAACCGCACGACGACCTCCATTACAACAAACAGCATTGCAATGACAAGCAATGGGGGTCTCACCCAGCACGATGGCCGACAGGAGCAAGATTAGGACGATCTTCATCTCGCCAATGACTGCAGGGCAGCAGTAGCAGCGGGTCCTCGATGTTAGCTGCTCAGGTCACACGTGCTGGAGAGATTGCACAAACGGAGGCGCGTGTGACGCCCTGCAACCAGGCTGCCCTTGCTCAGCTGCACTCACATGCCCTCTATTCGATCAGGGGAAGACAGCATAAGAAAACAACCTAAACAGGGTACACTCCAAAACGTTACATTGCAACCGGTCGGCAGGGAATCCATCAGAGTGCTCTCTAGACCCGTTGGGCCACGTACCCGTTGTGGTGACGGAGCTGGTAGCCTTAATTACCCAGGAATGGATGAGGTTGTAGAGCAGAGCGTTCAGGCAGCCCAAAAGGATTATCCCTACGCACAGCAAAGCCCAAAACAGGAACCGCGCCGGCCCACCCACAGCAGGGCCGGGCCCCGGCAGAGCCAGACCAGGTAAGCGGTTTAGTTTCGCACGTTAGACAGATGGGCAACCCCTGCACGAGCGGAAGCTGTCGTATGTTTGGCTTCTAACTGTGCTAGTAACTGTTCCAGTGGATGCGCTGGGCTGCAAGGACAAGCCGCGCACGCCCAGCCCCGCGGATAGCCTCATTCGTGCCTTCCTCACTTTGCCATAAATCCCGTGCCGCTAGGTAACAACCTGATTGATTAATAATGCCGATCTGGCACTCCCATGGCGAAGGAGCCGCTTGCTTCACGGAAGTGCCTCCCTAGGCGCCTCGCTAGGTGCACAGAGCCGGCTTCCAGTCTGCACACCCTGGCACCCATACATGCCGCATTGGCAATTCGACACGTACCTATGAAGCCCAGTCCCTGATGCCAGTACTTGTAGAAGGCTTCGGCTTCGAGCTTATTAAAGAAAGGCAGAAGCACGAAGGCGGATAGGGGCGCCGTGTAGAAGGTTAGTCGGAGTACGTCCAGCTTCTCCGTCAGCAGCCGCCCAATGGAGCTCATGGCCAGGCCGTTGCACATTGTGCCTGCGGCCCGAGCATGCATGTTTGCACGCGCCCCAGCGTGCAGTTGTCAGTTGCCATGTGCAGGTCCATCCATACAGGTTCGCTTGGGGCCTAAATTATCCATAGCAATGCAAACCAGCCAAACTATGTTGGTATGCACTCTCCTAACCTGCCTTTCCGGACTCCCCTGTCCGCCCCTTTCCCACGCAAGGCCCCCAAATGACACGTCGCGGTTGTCCCCGGTGAGTGGACCGACGAGCGCGTCACCCATCGGAGACCCACCAATGACGCACAGTGTCACGCCGGTGACCGAGGCCTTCGTGTTGGAGCCTTCGTACACCGCCATAGACACACCGGCTACCAGCACCAATAGCGACAGGAACTCCTGTCGTGACGGCGGCCGATTCTCAATGACTACAGCCCCCAGAGCAGTGAACACAGGTATACTTGCCCTGCACATGACGCGATAGAAAGGGCAAATGAAAGCGAGCCGCGGGTCGTTCAGGTAAGGGCCAGGAGAAATAGTGTTGTGCAAGGTCAGGGGCTTGCATGACGTTGCTGGGGGGATTAAGGACAGACAAAGAGGAGAGCCTGTTATTGCCTTGTCCGAGGCTGCCGTTTGTTGCACTGCCGGGAAAGGCGATTAGAGTGCCATCCAGCGGCATGCACTGGGACATGAATGAAAAAGGGTTCTCCGTCGCATTGGAGCTCTCGCCGCATGTGTATGACATTACCCATACGTCTCTACCAGGTATCTGTACAGACCTCACTACTAGGTGCCCAACGCTAAACAGCCAGCATCCCAACCATTTGCTAAGCGTATAGAGGTCTCAATGACTGGCTATATCAAGACAGCATAGGACGGAATAGAGAAGGGCAGGCACGTAGAGCGTAGGCCGACCGCCCCCGCTGGCCGATTGCTAGCTGGTGTGCCGCTGGCGCACCTGATCACTTGGTTGAGGCTAAGGGAGATGCTGAGCAGCGACACGTTGTTCAGGCCCACGTTAATGGCGAAGCACATCGAGATGAACAGCAGCCCCGGCCACTGTCGTATAAGCCAAGGGGCCAGGCAAGACACAGCAGTCAGGCAGTCGAGCCGCGCGAAACAATCCAGGCAGGTGTTGGGCTGCAGGTCCAGGGGATGTCAGGCAAACAAGTTGCCGCCAGCAGTGGCTGCGGCTGTTTCTCGCTTCGATAATAGTAGACGCTCGCCCGCTGCACAGCTGCCCTTGACCCGTGTTCCTGGGGGGGGTTACGTGCTGGGTGTGCGCACCGCCTAGCTGGTTGCCAGCCGTCGCACTTCTTCGGTGGGCTAAATTGCAGTACAACCATTGGTTGCGATAAGCCGTAAGGGCGCCCAGTCCTACCCAGGGAAGGCCAACGCCAGCCGCCAAGTTCATCTCCACAGACCCGGGACTGCATGCGCATTCCCTCCCCAGGCCACGTGGCCCCTTAGGCTTTAGGATGCTACATCCTGACTTGTGTCCGCTGTGGTGTTGAATGGGAGCTGGCTCCCAACCGCACCTGCTTGCTGATTGTGGGGTAGTGCAGCTCCCGATTGTGCTTGGAAAGCATAACGGGCGCCAGTACCACAAAGCTAAATGCCTGAGAGCAGCGGCGGCAGCAGCAGAAGGAAAGAACAAGCATGGGGCCGCGCGCAAGTAGCGACCAGCAATCAGCTTGTGTGCGTGCGCGTGAGGCCATATTGCCGGTTTGCGACCAACCAACGACGACTGCTCCCAAGCATGGTCCCAGACTTCATGGTATGGAGCAGGCCGAGCAGCCGTTAGCAAATCTTCAACGTGTAATCTCGCTCTGTGACTTCATGCTACGGAGCCCGATATGGCGACGTAACCTTCCACGACACAGCATGGGGCACCTCACATACGGGCATGGTGAACGCAGTTCCGGAACACATGCACTTCTTACACTTGCGCCGTCGTACCATATGCGCTATGGACAGAGCGATAGGGAAGGGGAAACCTGAAGAGGCGCAGAAAGCAAAAAATGGGTTCGGGTAATTCTTCAGCCTATTAGCCGTGGTGGGCTGGATTCTTTCCGTGGTCATGAGTGATGATGATGAGCGAAACGAGGGTTGCTTGCATTGACAAAATCTGAAATGATTGCGCTTACGGCTAGCACGTACAGCAACGTAAAACACTTGATCAACCCACATGGCGTGCCATGCTCATGTCACGCCATGTTGGTTGATCAAGTGTTTTATGTGGCGTGACATGAGCATGGCTTGACTAAACGGCTGAGAGGAACGCTAGGATGCACAGCAGGCGCAAGCTGCTCCAGGACATGCCTGTCCTGTCGGCCGACGACCCTGATGGGTTTGTGGCGGGTTGACGGCGGGCTAGGGGGAGTTCCAGCCTTCGCCACATCAAGCTGTAAATACACCTGCCAGTCCCCATGGCACTCTCACCCAAGCATACCCCCAGCATGCAATATCAAAGCATGCAGATTGCAACACCGGCGCAAATCAACCCCCTGCCTTCGTTCAGCTCTTACCGTATATGGAGATAGTCCACTTATTCACCATGTTAAGTGATATGTTCAGAGTCAAATAGGCAGCAACCTGCGCATCCCGCATACCGAGGACGTTCAGAGCGACTGGGCGGGGATGGGTCCGTCGTGATGCAACGGCTGAAACGCACCATCAAGACCTTTGAGATCCAGTGGTCGCAGTTAACGTCAACAGATGCCATTTTGGTTAGCCTAGAGGTGCGCAATCCGTTAGCGTAACTATAATGCTCCTGGAAGACGCAAACTCGGCAGAGCCGAATTGCTCCTCCGCTGAGCTTTCCTTACGGGATCAGCAAGTATGTCATTTTAAACATAATGCGTCCAGAAACCCCTTCCCGAGACAGCTTTCTAAAGGTTGGACAGGGGCAGGGCAGAAACGTTGTGGACGAAGTCGCGTTGAATTAAAGAACTAGTTGGCTTTAGCTTAACGAATGAGTATAAGAAGTGCACTCATGCGGGATAGATGCAGCATTCCAACCGTTTAATCCGATTGCTACTCAGGGCAATCCCACTTAAGTGAAGTTCTTTCATTACTATTAGTTGCGTGATTTTTTATCTTCTTAAATACTTGTAACTTGGTTCGCGTGATTTCTTGTGACAGTATAAACTATATTTTGTAGCATATTGCACGGGCGTCCAACCACCCAGTTAACCCATTTGTTTTATAGCGATGGGCATGGACCTACACTTTGGGTGGAAATTGCGATGCACAAGTCTCGCTCGTCTGTAAAGATTAGCATTTGGTCAGACGGTGATGCCGCAGCGAAGGGCAGCATCGTTAAAACTGTCAAGCTAGTCAATAGATATTTACAACGGTTGCGCTTGGCAGAACAATGGCCGATGGGCAACCGAAGGGGCTGGCTGTTGCTGTGCCTGGCGGCAACAGGAGGACTTGCACTGCTTATCCTACTTCGTGCAGCGTCCTTTATCGGTGAAGGTCTGGTGCAGCAGGTGGGAGCCTTGATATGGTCGGCCCTGGCTGTGAGCTGGGGCTGGGCGTACGCAACCATAGGTTCCCGCCATATAAGAGCCCCTATGGCAAGCTTGGGAGGGATGGACGACTGGAGCATCCGGCGCCCATGGGTGTCACCACCCCTAGATTTCCATCCACAGGACGGCCCCGGGAGCCATATGTGCCTGTACGGTGCCGCTTCGGCTGCTGCTTCTGCTGCTGCTGCAACGCAACTCACCCCCTCCCTTCGCTCATTCCACACCCACCCTCACCGGCTTCAGGCGCAAGGAGACCAGTACGCCGTGTACATAGGTGCGTCCTTTAATCCCATGTGATGGTCGGTGAATGCTAGCCAGCAGCAGAGGCGCGCCACGCTGGAGAGGACCAGCGCTCACCTGCCCCGCGCCAGAGCTGAATGACATGGCAGTAAGGCCGTGTTGCTTAGCGGCTCACTTCAGGAGCGCGCAGCAGCCGTGGCCAGAGGGGCCACAGCACGCGTATGTCTCCGCAGCACGGGGAGGGGGGCCATTGGTACCACCCCCACAAGGGCATTACGGAACTTCGGGGGAAACGGGAGCAGCTGGAATGGTCCGGGACCGCCCCAGCTACATCATCGTATCCCACGCCTGCTGTCTGCCGGTCAAACCGCGTTGAAGCCGGGATGGGCAGGTTTCGGCGTAGCCGTTTCCCAGGCAATTTCGCCGCCTCTGTCGGCTTTGCACGCACACTGCTGCATGGATGCCGCTGACCGGACTTCCTGCCTGCGTGCTCTGCATCTCTACACGCCACTCCCTTTCCCAGGTTGCATCACAACACAGCTGAATCCGCATCCATCCCACCCAAATGACGCTCTTCCACATGTGGGCCTTACCTGAGGTATGGTGGCCCCTTTCCCAACCCTATCTACCCTGCCGCCTGCCTTGGCCAGACGGCGGCAGCAGCGGCACCCGTGTGCGAGTGTTTCGCTACCGCCCCGCCAGATGGCCCGCCTACGTGGTGCTGGTGCTGCCAGAGCCCAGCCGCTCCGTGGAACCAGGCTTGTCAGCCTACGCCAACCAGCCGGACAGAGCTGCAGCCAGTTTGGTGCCGCTGCTGGACTTCGCATATGAGCAGGTGCGCGCGGTGGAGCGGGAGCGAGACACGGCACTATGAGTTGATGCATGCGGTCTCTTGTTACCGAAGGGGAATCTGTCGTTATATATAGTGGATGCGGCGAGGAGGGAGGATTGATTGCTCCAAATGCTTGGCGCGTATTCACTTGCTTTTAGGAGAGGGTGGATTATCATACATCGGGGTTGTGGTCCCGACCGTGAGGGGGTGTGAGCTATGTGCGGTTGGTCGTGGACATGATTCTGTGGGGCTGGGGACATGGCGCGTGGTGGCAAGGGCGCAGCTCGTTGCGTGCATGGGTATCGCCACATCTCCTGTACCATTCACGCGTGCTCTGTATTTCTCCCCCTTCGTGAGACTTGTAGGTTCCAATGGAGCTATGGCACCAGACTCCGGTTCGACTCCTGGCAACAGCGGGGCTGCGGCTCTTGGATCAACAAGAGCAGGAGGCCATTCTGGGGTCGTGTCAGCAGCTTTTGGCGGCCTCTCGCTTCCGGTTCGAGCCCTCCTGGGCTACCGTAATTGACGGGGAGATGGAGGGACTCTTTGGCTGGGCGGCAGTGAACTACTTGACGGGCGCCCTGCAGGTGCGTTACTGCTCACCTGGACGGACCGGGGGAAGCCGATGGGTTGCGGATGTGAGCGTCCTCATGCCCGAGCGCATATTGGGTGAAAGTACGAAGTCTAGGATGGAGTATAGGCTTGACTGCGAATGTTTGTAGGTGGGAAAGCTCATGTCCTCCGCTCACCGACCCTCCTTGCTGCTTCACACGACATGCATGACTAGCTGGGGAGCACGATGAACTCCGCTTGATGGGGCTCATGTGAGACCGGCCCAGGTGCTTAGCTAGTCAGTCCCTGCGTTGCCAGCTTTGGTTCTCGGTCTGTCTACCTTTCGTCGTCCTGTCAGATATATGTATATCTGGGTGTTACACCCAACAACCTTTGACCTTTGATGTCCCGTTGCACCCATTACCCCTTAACCTCCGATCCGGCACGGCTCGGTTCGCCGCCTTGCTGCTCAAAGGAGGCATCCGCCCACAGCCACCACAGCCGCAAGGAGGTGATGGACCCCGCGCAGCTGTTCACAGGCCTGTTGGAGATGGGAGGCGCCAGCGTGCAAGTCACTTTCCTGCCGCCGGTGACCGCCAAGCAGGCGGAGAGGCACGGCTCGCACCTGCATTTGCCAGGTGCACTGCTTCTGCGCGGGGCGGGGCGGGGAGGAGGATCCGGGGTGTAAGAGTGCTTAAGAGCCAACGCGGATTGTGTCGATGCTCTACGATGCGCTGGCGTTGTGCTGTGCTGCGTCGTGACCATGTACGCAATCCTGTCCTGTACAGCAATCTTATCCTCTGTAACCGGCAGCATAAGTCGCTGCCACGCGTGTACACAGCACGCATCGAGACACTCCGCGCGCGTGCACGGGTCACTTCCAATTGGCCCCGGGTTAGCCCAAGCATCCCGAAGCTTAAAGCAACATTATCCTAGCAGAAACGGCAGGCCTGGGCCTGGTGCAGAAACGCGGCTGCCTGCGCAGGTAGTCCTGGGCGAAGCGCGGGTCCCCAGCATATGCCCGTCCTGCATCAGTAACTACCTGCTCTCGCCAACTCAGTTCCTGTTCCCCGGGACCCCGAAACAGGCGTGCCTTCCCGCCTCTTCACCCACAGCTACTTGGGCTTGGGTATGGACTCGGCACTGGCCCAGGCTGCGGAGTACGTGCTGCGACATCAGCCCCGGTCGCCAGCCATTTCGGACCCTTGCCTGCCCATCGGGTGAGCTGCTTCTGTTGGACACTGCCAGCAGCGCGGTGATATCGCCTAAGAGAAAAGGATATGACTTTGGAAGTAAAGAGTAAAGCGATTGCGAAGGAGAAATAGGTAAAGCCTAACGAATTGGAAACGAGGGATAGGATGTAGGTAGGCCGACCGGAAGGGGAGCTACGCTCAAAATGGAGCGTGGAGCAATAGATGGGCTGTAGCTGCAAAATGATATGTCTTCAAGGTCAGTAGTTGGCAAGCAGCCTTACCCTGCGCTCTGCCGAACTCCCCCCTTGCAGGTACGTTAGCGAGGATGGGAGAATAGGCAACGGCTCTTTCGCGCAGTGCATGGCTGTCGTCCAGCGGATCATGCCTGAACACGATTGCTTCCCTTCTCAATCAGCTGCAGCAGCCGTGGGATCGTCTGGTGGCAGGGCAGAGGCCTCGGAAACCGGGCGGAAGATCACTGAAGAAGGCGAGAACGCCGCGTCCGGCGGCTACGATGATGATCCTGCGGTGGATGCGCATTCGTCCTCTCGCGCCGGCGGCGGCTCCGTGGCGTCTGTTGCAGGCGAAGGCGGAGGCTGTGTTTTGCAGGGCAGCTTTCTGCCGGTGCTGTCCGGCCGGTTTGTTGCCGTTGAAAATTTCGCTTGGACGGCGCGAGCCCTAGGGCTGCACGAGAATGCGACGCTGCGGCAGTTGCGTGAGAGCGGCCACCACTACTGCGCCAAGCATTGGTCCAGTCTTCATGCGGAATTTAGCGGCCACATACCCGATCAGGTAGGCTGATCCAGGCTGTGTCGGCGATAGCGTATGTGTGCGGCGTATGGGCTGCCCAGGGCCACGCAGCGGCCAAGGGTGCTTGCGAGCCACGGAGCATAGATGTTGGGAAGTTCAATGGCAGACATGTGTTCAAAAAAAGAACAACCCTCACTCTGTGCCGTGTGTGCGCCGGGCAATAGCCGTTCGGATTGCTGACTAGCTGTTGTAACAGCTTCGTCTTGCTCGCCTGTTGCCTCCGTGCGGCCATGCAGCACCGCCCCGGTGCCTGCCTGTACATTCCTATGACCAGGTGCCATACATGCCTCGCACCCATGACGTGCTTGCCATGGTTCCATCCCAACCAAATCCTCGTAGTTTTTTTGTGACAGCGCCTCACATCGACAATCCCTTGCTTCCTTTCGACATTGACGCCGGCACGCCTCTTAACCCGCTTCCCTCTTTTAATATTTTTTCCCTTCCCGGCTATGGACGATTGCTTTTTTTTCGTTTGTCCGGTCCAGTTCCTGGTTCGCTACTGCTTCGGGGCGGCCTACATCCTGGCCCTCCTGCACAGCGGATTCGGCCTGGGGCTGGATGACGGCCGGCTGTGGTGGACGAACACCGTGCGTGAGGCCGGCGAGGGCGCAGAAGTGGGGCTCAACTGGGTCCTGGGTGCGGCCGTGGTGGACGCCATGAGCAGCTCTGGCGGCGTAGGCGGTGGAGAGGAGCACAACCGTGGCGGCGCCGCCGGGTCCCAGCGCTTCTGGCTTCGTGATGAGCAAGGCATGGCGGCTGCCACGGGCAGCGCTCGAATGGTATTAATGCTGCCGTTGGCGGCGCTAGCAGCGCTAGCGGCATTCGTTGGGCTGGCGCTGCTGCGTATCTTGCGGAGCGGCAAGGCTCGCATAGTGACACTAACGCCGGGCAGCGGCGGCGGTGCTGGCGCGCTATTCAGCAGCCGAGGCTTTGGGGCAGGCAGCGAGGAGCGTGCCAGGACGGGTGGCGGCGGCAGGGCGGCAGGGGTTGCGACGTCTTGGTCGTCGACTTCATTGGTCTCTGAGGTTGCCGCGGGGAGGTCGCTGCCCGGGATAACCGTACGGGATGCTAGCAGCCTTGACCCAGGGTTAGGGCAGAGTCCAGGCGCGGATGTAGGGCAACGGGGACAGGGGTTTTGGTACGCGGGGATGGGGCAGGGAGCAGGGGCTTCACACGAGGGGGGAGTTGCGGGGGTTAAGCATGGGGGCGTCCTGAAGGCGGCTGCGCTCCTGGGATCTGCCATGCGTCGCAATCCTTCCTTCACGAGCGTATTGATAGGTGTTGAAGGTGGGACATCACAATGACCAATGGCACTATCACGCCCATAGCAAAGCACAGCTAGGGCTTACGTCGGAGGGTTGCCGTGGACGCCGCAGTGAGTGCGCATTAGCCGGGTGCCGGGTTTCACTCCAACTGTGAAAGTACTGACCGTGCGTTGTCTGAAATAAGCTAATTTGGGTAACTTCTCGTCGCCTGCCCTTCGGGAACTGTACGACAGTCGGCGTTGAAGTTTCTCAAAATCTCCGATGCCTTATGCAGACGTACGTCGTTAGGCTATTGTTGATCAAACATCTGTAATTAACAAAGTTAATTTACCTTTGGGCTCCTGACTGTTAGACAGGCCTTGCATCTCGCTTGAATAAGCTTGGCCGGGAATCATTTTAAGCTTTCAGAAGTCGTAATCCATGGCACCTGAAAAGAAGCACAAGCCCCATGTGGGCGCAGGTCTTTCTCTCGACAAGTTCGCCAAGTTAGGTGTTAGCCAATTTGACAAGCGGAAGAAACTTGAGCGCATTAAAAAGCAGAAGATAATTGAATACAGCAAATACAAAAAGCTTAAGCATAAACTCGAGGCGCAGGGCGTCCTTTCAGGGGCGCCCGTTAAAGACTCGGTGAGTGCAATCGTCGCGAAGCGGCGGCGCAGCGCGGCGTGTCGCAGGGGTTTTTCCTTAGCATCAACCCATGACTGTTGATACCGCTTTAACTTCAGGTCGCAGAGCTGGAGGCTTTGGACTTTGACGGTGAGGTCGGGGGTTGGGGCCAAAAGCCATTCCCCTTCAATCGTCGCTTTAACCTCGTTACCCTGGAAAAACTTGTTGCATATTGTGCAGCCCCTTTAAAATCTGCCGCCGGCTCTGCGGACGAGCCGGCGAGTCATGAGGAACGAATTGTTTCGCACACGCGGGCAGGACCAAGCAGCAGGCCGCGGCATGGCTCGGAGCCAAAGGCACAGACACCTGCTATCCCAGATGCGGCTGAGGTGCCAGGGGCCCGTGGTCCGTCCTGCGGTGGCCAACGTAAAACGGAGCAGCCAGGAGCTGGCGTGCGGAAGCGGGCCCGGGTAGATGACTCTGTAGCAGCTCAATTCAAACAGCCCAGCCGGCACAAGGGGCCAGACAGCAAGTGCGCCGATTGGAACGCCGTACCGGACGAGGATGGGGATGCGATGGTAGAGTATGCTGCTCGCAGCGGCGATAAGCAGCCTGCAGGTGCATCAGCAGCCCACCGTGGGGAGCAGGGGCAGGTTTCGGAGCGCCAGGGGTCACGTGAGGGGGACAACCGCGGTGTCAAAAAGCTGTCACGGTTGCAACGGCTGGCGCAGCGGGTGGCCGAAGAGAAGGCGGAGAAGCAGCGAGCCAAAGAGACGGTGTGTCGGGAATTGCACACAGCGGGTTACTATGAAATGCTGAGCCCCTAGGCAGCGTGGCCAGCAAAGTGCTCAGGCATTGCTTATGGAGTTGTTGATCCATTGTTGTGCTGCCATCGCAGTGTCCTTTGCCGTTTGTGAAAGGTTTAGGGGTTTTCCTCCCTCGTTTGGTTGACCTCAGGCAATGAAGGAGCGGGAGGAGCGTTTGAAACATGTGGCAGCCGCTGAGGTGAGAGATGAAGTAGCGTGCTGGAAGCATTGTTGCAAAGCGAGTATTTGTCGCCTGTCTCAATTTGTATCGTATGTTGAGCCCCACCTCCCCCCAGCTTCTCACGTCGTCCGTGAGCTGAGGCATGGGTCCAGGGTGTAATGACTCACTCCTGCAATGTCTGATTCTGTCCAGGAACAAAATAGTTTCATGTGGATGCGTTGTGTTTGGATTCACTTAACTTATATGGCGTGTGTCATTTGCATGGTACGACCACGAAATTTGAACGACAAGGTCTGGATTCCCTCGTTACCAGGGCTCCTTCACCGACTCTCAGTTTCCTAATTGCCCCCTTGCCAATCCATATTATGCAGAAATCCCGTAAGGAGCAGAAGCACTTGCACTTCAAGCGTAACGCCAAGGGGCAGCCGCTGATGAGATATCGGATGGAGAAGCTGCTTTCGCAGATCCAGAAGACGGTTTAATTTTTGAACTGATGGGAGTTTCGCCTGGTCAGATGCGGGGTTTGTGACCGGCCTACCGTCGCACGTTATTGACGTGGCAGCTGCAAGCAACAGCTGGTGTCCAGTGTGGTTCTGCATCACAAGCGCCACGGGCATGCCGTTGTCGCAATTACGGCTAGATACACCTGAGGATGGCTTATTTCCTGCGCGCGGCTGCTGCAACTGGGTCCGTAGCTACCAAACTTGAATAGCACTCCTTGTAATGTATTCATGCATTACAAGTTGCTGGGTTGCTATGGTTACTGCTTGCGTGCATTTGGACAACAGATATCCATGCAGCATGTGCGCTTGGCGTAAGGAGCGTGCAGTATATACAACGAAATCATGGGCAGCGACCGGCTACTTCCCTATTCACCATGAGTCCAGCGGCTCACCGCATCATAACATCGCAGCACGTCAGCGATTCCAGGTCCGGACCCTTCCATCTCTATCGCACTTCCCAGCCCGGGCAACTTCCTGTCAGGCTCAGGAACCCGCCACTAATAACATCATGCACGCAATCCCTACAGCCGCACTGGCAAGCATTGTAGCAGGGCTTGTCCCTCCAATGTGATATGCCAGGCCGTTGTACAGGATCGGACCTCTGCCGGAAGACCCCGTCATGGGTGAAGCGTGCTGAGGACGCTTGACGGACGCGTCATCCTCCGTCTCTGGTGGGTAAATCTCTTGTGAATATTGAGGGGATGACTCATCCGGCGGCGGGGCCTCATGATTGGAATTTGCCAGCAGCGAAGATGCTGATCTCAGCTGGCCCTTCAGCGCGGCGAGGATAGGGGAACGAAGTGGCAAGGCGCCCTTGGGAGGCCGTGTTGGCCGCCCCACACTGAGCTGGGGGCCTAAGTGGGCAATCTTGCCTGCCCTGAAGACCTGTGGATGTACGGGTAGAGGAGCTGGGGTAAGTGTGGCTCAAACTGGAGTTTACACAGGGGCCAATCGATGAGCAGACGGATGCCATTAACATAGGCAATGAAAGTGGAAGCGGCGTGGCTCCAGGTGGACCCCTTTTCTGCGAACATATCGCTGCTCTAGAGAATTGCCAGTATCCGATGTACAAGATACGGATGCCCTGTAGAGCACGAGATATCTTGATGGTCTGGCAGCGCATTTTGGCCGACCTGGCTGTTTTGTGCTTCGGTCGCATTCCACGATGCTGCGAAGGCCACAGCAGCAAGAAGCACCAAAACGAATACAGCTTTGCGCTGCTTAGAGATTGAGGACATTGCTAACCAGCAATTGATGCACCTATCTGCAGTCTATGGGTACAAAGACGAAGCACACGTTACCAAGACCGTGGTTCGATACAGTACGCCTCAAGGTGGCGTTAAAATGTGCATTTAACACTATGACGATCATATAATGGGTGCCACCTGGGATGTCCTGGCAGTAATATGGCCCCTGTCGCACCTGACGGCGTTGTGACACGACCGGACACCAAGGGGACAGTGAAACAGACTGCCTCCAAAGACAGTGAACTTGGCCCAAATATACAAACATAGTACCCTTCCCAAATATAGACAATATCTGGGAGCAACGGCGGACACGAACGGACGTACCCTAGAAGATTGTCGCAACTAACGTCAACTGACGGTGGCAGTCTAGGTGCGCATGTGCTCCAAGGCTTCCCAACACACATTTAGCAATAGCTAGCCTGGCAGACTTAGCAGAACATGCCACGTCTAACATTACACAGTTGTTAGTGTTCGAGGTTTTCAAGGCGACAGCTGAATAAAGTCGACGTGCAAATGCCTTAGCCGCTTCCCAAGTTGCTGCATGAGAGACATGATCCACACCGTTTAGGTGCTTCATTTATGCCAGGTTTTTTCAAAATTTAATGCGTGAGTGTCGGTCTGTCGCAAGCTGTCTGCCGGAAGCTGAAGCGGCGCGAGCTTTCCCAGGCGCTTCCCAGGTATCTCCGCAACCTGACCACACGGCATCCCCATGTATCTCTGCTGTTACGTTATCACCCATGAAGAGTTTTTTTAATAACAAGCTTGCCCTCAATTTCCGTTGGTGGACGTTCCGGCTGCATGACGGATGCGATTGTTACAGTGGACCCCGAACGGGTCGAGTGCAGCGCCCATAGGAACGCCTCCCGCACAACACTGTGGGCCTTATTCAAAAAGAACTCGGCCAGGACGGCCGAGCCCAATGACGGCCGAGCCCAATGCTTCGTGCGTGGCCATCTAGCCAGGACATTACAACAGGCTCGGCAAAGTAGGACTCGACTAGCGGGCTTGCCATACACGGTTTGGATAAGGCAATACAACCCTTTTTGCCACGCTGCAACTCGAAATAACCATACGCATCCGTCTCCACCTGGGTCGCCAAGTCGCGGGCAGCTGTCGCCATGGACGCACCTGAGGCCCCAAACCGCCAGATAAATATGCCTCCTTAATCTATTTAAATAGCTGACTGCTAGCTTTAGCTTTGTTTGCATTTCATGCATTCGCTGGCGCCAACCGCTTGCATCGGCGTAGCCCCCAGTATTGTGCATTGCGTCACTTTCCATAAAAACATTATGTAGTTTACTATATTTACTATATACTCAGCAAATTGCGCTGCCGGCTTGCGCAAGAGATCTCTGCGCGCGCTCCACGCCCGCGCGCGCCGCTTGCACCAGGATTCACTACAATGAAATGTCTTTTGCTTCAATATGTTGGTATGCGTGGGTATGTGCGTTGCTGAAGGGGCAGGGGGCCTTTGCACCATCTGGGGAGCTTTTACCACAGCTGAAGTCAAGCCATTCCTTGTGGATCAAGGACCGCCATCAAAAACATATTTGTCTGCATCATGGTGATTTGATACTCCTGTCCTTCCACGAAACGGTGATTCACGCGTAGCGCGGCGCTATCATATGCATGTGTACGCAAGCATGTTTACTTTGTATATCAGTCTCTAGTGCAGTGCACGGCCAGCTGGCCCGGTGGCTTTACTCTTCGGGAGTCTGGAGCCCACTGTAACAACCACACACACATGTTTACGACTGGACCTGTCCCACCAACATGAAACACCTGGAGGAGTCCTCCAGTGTTGGGGCCGAAACGGAAACCTGCCGAAACGGAAACCTGCCGAAACTAGTTTCGGCCCCTTTCGGCTAGCGCCGTACGGCAGAACCTACTTTGAATAGTTTCAAAGCGTAGGCGCGTTATGCAAGGCTGCGAAACTCTGCGAATGTTGAGCTTATCTTAACAATGTCTCAGACAACTTCCGTTGTCAGTGCAGACACAGAGCAGGTCAAAAACAAGGGTGGAAGGCCCGCTGATCAGACCGTTTGGGCTCACTTTGAGAAGGAAGAATATAACGCAAAGTCTAAGAACTGGATTATCATCTGCAAGTACTGCCGGATCGAGTTCAAGCAAGGGCGCCTTCAGGAGATGCGCCTCCATATCGCGCAAAAGTGCGCAGGTCCGTCCCGCCTGAGGTCCGGCACGAGCTGCAGGCAGTAGTGACCAAGGACGCCTGCAGCGCCTCGTCAGTGCCTTCGGACACACAGGAGCACGTCCCATGAGGCGCAATGGCACATAGGGCCCACTAACAACGTTTGCATACCATGGACGTCATAAAATAAAGCTTTTTGAGGTTTCCGACAGTTTCCGACGGTTTTGCGAGGTTTTGCAGAAGGCTCCAAAAATCGGAAACTATTTCGGCATTGGCAGTAAGGTTTCGGCCCGTACATTGTGGAGGACCCAGCGAGCGACCGACACAAAACGCTCATGGCCCATTATGAGAAGCATGGTACGAAAATTGAAGTACGAAGGGTTTATGTCAGCATTTTTAACGTTTCCGGGAGAGGTGGCGGCTGTTATGTCATCTACGTTATATAATGGCCAAATACCAGCCTCAGTCACTGCTCATGATCAACCTCTTTCCCGTTCCAGAGCTAGACCCCATAAGTGTAGGAGATATAGACTTTACAACTTCTTTTAACTCAGCATTTTACAGGAGGAAAAAGTCCTCCTATAGTCGGTTGAGGCGTAGAATGTAGGTTTCGATTTTCTTTCCTCCCGCACTTGTATATGCGTAACTCCAGCATATCATGTTTTCAGGTCAGGAAAGCATGTTTTACAATTATGTCTGTTGTATATATTGCAGTGATAACGCAGCCAAGACCTCCTCGGAAAGTGGTGGTCACACGGGACCATCAACGAGCACCACCGGTGCCGGCCCCGGACCAAGCTCCAGCAGCAACCAACAGGTATTTCAATACTGTATCGTCTAGTGTAATTTTAGTAAAGTAATTATAGTGAACTAAAATGACACTAGACAATCTCTGTATTGTGAATAGGGTCTGGTTTACTAAAACTATGCTCAGACAGCCCACATCCTGAATATTCTTACAACATAAATTCTTATGATACCTCTTTTCTGTTTTTTTTGTAGGTTGATGCTGGAGTGGCCCTGAAGACTTTGGAGGAGGCCTTGGAGGAGGCTGCATTACAAAGGGCGGCGGCGACCGCGGCCGCGGCGGCGGCGGCGGCGAAGCTCGCAGAGAAAGATGCCGAGATCGCAAGGCTACTAAAGCTGCTTTCACGCATGAAGATTCCTGAGGTAAGTTTTAAAGCTTCATCTGTTGCCTGATATCTCGTTTTTGGGCGGGGCCCCAGCGCGAAGCGCCCAGGGGGGCCCCGACCTGTAGGATTGCCCATGTCCGTGTGTGTGTGTGTGTGTGTGTGTGTGTGTGTGTGTGTGTGTGTGTGTGTGTGTGTGTGTGTGTGTGTGTGTAACGGACCAAACATAATATCTCGCCCGCCTGAAACTCGTTATAGGTACTATACAGCATTCTCTATTGCAAGGTATCTCGCATGTAGCCAACAAAAATCGTATGAGCACAAACAAGTTTGGCTGCCTCAATTGACCGAGGCCAAAGTCACATCAACGCCTCTCGCGCTAAATTTCATCTCAAAAGGTACCGCGTATCTCATATTTGAATTCTTAGATGACGGCGTATGATAACTCGAACTCCCAGGCCTTGAGTGTGTAACGGACCAAACAGAATATTTCACCCGGCTGAAACGCGTTATCGGTACTATACAGCATTCTCTATTGCAAGGTATCTCGCATGTAGCTAACAAAGACCGTATGAGCACAAACAAGTTTAGCTGCCTCCATTCACCGACCTCAAAAGCCACATCGACGCCTCTCGCGCTAAATTTCATCCCAAAAGCTGCCGCGTATCTCACAATGGAATTCTGAGATGACGGCGTATGATAACTTGAACACCCAGCTTGTGTTACCATTTGCCGGCATGGGCAATCCGACTTGCCACCAGCAGGCCAACATAATTTGCTTTCATTTCTCTATGAAATACACAAGCTCCTTGTTTGTACATTTACTTTGGCCAATGCACGGGGCCTCCGGAGACTTGCGGTGTGCCCCGATGAAGCTCGCGGCTGTGGGGCGGATTGCTGAGGCCGCTGGCGCATCGGGGATAAACATCACAGACAGCACCGAAATTCACCCAGCTTTCGTTACCATTTGCCCGCATGGGCATTCCGACTTGCGGTCTGCCGCACTGTCCATGCGGCATGCACCCGGGATGGATGCGATTCGCGTGGAGCCCGCAGGCGGTGCTGACGATTCCGCCGGTGCAAGCTTAGCTCCCACACCATCAGCACTGCTGCAACAAAGCACATCTCCCACAGCGGTGACACTACCCATCAATTGTCACACGTGCCGCGCTAGCTACCGGCCTGTACGGATGCAGGGGGGGCCCGCCCTTTTTCCGGCTTCGAGGAAGCCGACACCCGACTTGTCCTCCACCCTGTATCTCCCTGCCTAAGGATGGATTCTCCCTCATTCCCTATTTTCCCATTCTTTGGGCTTTCTTGGGTATGCAGGGATCTTCAAGTGAGGTACCGAGGCTGCAGGAAGCAGCTCAGGAGGCCACAGAGGAAGCCGCTGCAGCCGTTCCCACCACTAGGGAGGCACATGTTGATGAGGGAATGATGCCGGGCCAGCAGCAGTGGGCGCGGACACAGACATTTAGATGAGCATGGCAAGGGCTGATGGATGTGACTGGAGAAGGGATGGGATGAGATGTGAGATGGTGAGAGTGAGGCAGCAAGGGACGGTTGAGACGGAGAGGCAGCAGCCAAATGGACTGCATCCTGGAAAAGATTAGTGCTAATTGAGACACTATTTGAGGGTTGAACAAGTTGAAAATTGTATTGTAGTCATGATGCAATAAAAAGCAGTCAGACTGACACATCTTTGTAACACCACTAACGGCCATCCGTACCATCGGTATCAACGGTACGTCTAAGAATATTATTAAACTTCCAATCAGAGGTCGGCAATTCGGTTTCTACGGCTGCAGGAAGGCATAATTTCGGTTAATAAACCTAAAAACGTTTTGGGGCGCCTTCCTTCTTTACGAAGTTAAACACAGAGTTCAAGTCCAGCACGAGGCCCTACGGGCCGCAATAGAGGCTGCAAATCACGTCCTTTGGTCAAATTTTGGTCATTAGGGACCCGCAGCTGGGCCTTTAAGACGAATTTCGGCTGCGGGTACTGTGGTACGGACCCGCAGGACCCGCCTTATTTGCCGACCTCTGGTAGCTACCCACCTTTCCTAGTGCCATAATTCAGTGGTAAAGCTAGGTCCTAATCCTTAAGGACAGGGTCTTCACGAATGTTGCGTTCAACCCTTCGCGCACTGCAGGCGTCCATGTGCTGAAGTCCGCGACAGCTGCACGCCAGTGTCCTAGCCGTCAGCACAGGTAACAACGTACACTCATAATTGGAATGCTTGGGTAACATGCAAAACTTCTGGGTGGAACCATCGCGCATCTATTGAATGTCTCCTGCGTAAACACGTTGCTTCGGAGAGAAGTATGCATAATGACGCTGATTCGGAGAGAAGTACAGCCATGACGGATAATATTAATCTTCGCGCATTCGTCGCTGTCAACCAAGCGTAAAAAACTGGTTTAGGTAGATTGCTCAGGTTCCGTAAGGCACAGCAAAGATAATGAAAATTAGAGTGGGTGATTCAGCTAAGTGTGATGATGAAGCTCTTACCAAAGAACAAGGACAGCTGAACGCCAATCCCTTCGCGTGGAGGACACTAACACAGCAAAAATTGGGGTGCCTGGCGGCACTCTTGCAATCAAGCAGTTAATGACCATATGGGCTGTCCTACCAAATTATACAGGTAGCAATTGAACAGGCATCAATAAAAATGTCTGGGGCGTACGGCTGCGTACGATTCGACTGTTTTGCCGGGACTGCAAGAAACATACTGCATGCTGTTGTTCGACTTGCATGGAGAAGGTAAATATAACTGCTTACATTTTCTTGTTGGTAGGCAGCCGTGCAAACAGTTGTGGACAATCCGCGGCTCAGGGTGTAAGCAAGCGTCATAGCAATAATCTATAAATCTTGGAAAGGTTTAACCTAGTACGAGAATCTACGGAGTACTGAAAACTCGATAGTCTAGGTTATCCCCACTTAAGCGTCTTCCTTCAATACCCTCTGTGGATCACCGAACTATCCATTGATTCGCTGTAGGATGAATAGACAGGTGCGATAAATGTATTAGGGATACCACTTGGTTAGCGCATAACCATGTTGCCTTCTTGTGCCGCGTAGAAGCCCCCTCCGGATGCACGCATCCAGAAGATGCGCGAGCTGGAGGATCGTCTTGCAAGTCTGCAGCAGGATCGAAAGGTATGTGCCAAGGACAAGCGTCCTTGACATCTGCATACATGTGCCCTTCTATTGGTGACGCGTGGACCCACATCTACCTAAATCTCAAGTTCGGGGTCACTTAGTGAATTTACGTTAAGGCGTGAAAGGCAACGCTTAGACCGACGTGGCTGCGGAAGGCGGACAACTGTATTTTGGGGTGCTTGCTTTCGTAGGCGGAGCAGAAAATGGTGGCTGTGGCAAACTTTGAGGCTAGGACAACGAAAAAAATCGTCAGCAGCATAGTCCAGCAGCGCTTCGATGCACTGAAGGCACGTCAGGAGGCTGACTTAAACACCCGACGACAAAAGCTGGCCGAGAAGCTGGACGCCGAGGACCTGGCCTTGCGGCAGGAGCTGCTTGCCAGCAAGAAGACCCCAGAACAGCGACGTGCGGAGCTTGCAGCACGGGCTCGAGCGCTTGCAGAGAAGCGGGAGGCAGAGCGCCAACAGTTGGCAGCATCGTTGTACGAAAAGGCCTTCATCCAAAGCTGTGACGTACTCCGTGATGAGAACTCGAAACGTATTCTGTATCGTACGCTCGAGGAACGCAATGCACAGGTAACTGAGGGATAAGCGCCCGTTTGTGGGAATGGGGGGGAGGTATAGTGTAAGCAGGTGAGCCGGGGGTGAACCGGAACGATACAAACTATCAAGAGAGTAGTTATCAATCATTGGCTCAGCTTAGGGATTCCATGGCTGCTGTCTGATGCTCTAAATACCTAGGAAAAACCCACCTGCTCTTGCAGATTGAGCAACGGATGGCTACACGCATCCTCGAGGAGGAAGAGAAGCACCTGTGGCATGAAATGAGCGAAGTAGAGCGGCTGAAAAAGGAGGCGAGGTATGTAAGCAGTCTAAGCTGCTTGATTAGGCTCGTGACGACTTGCAGGGGGATAGCTTACGGCGTTTCCGGGCCCTAATGGATTCCAATACCAACGAAGGATTAGCTAGGTGCCCAGTTGCCTTGATTCATGCCCCTATGGTAAGTTTTCTCTACCACGCAGCTTGCATATCTTGACTGAAGAAGTTTTCTGTTTCGCCTTTTCCACTAGATACCTGGAAGACAAGCAACGCGAACGCGAACGGCGAGAGGAGACATTGCGGGTGCTGGACGAGCAAGTGCGGCAGATCAACGCCCGTCGCGACGAGCAGGCCCGCTTGCGACGTGCAGAGATTCAGGAGCTGAACGCCACCTGGCAGCGAATGGCGGCCGAGCAGGAGCAAGCGGAAATGGCGGAAAAAGAGCGGTTGCGGCGGCTTGCAGAGGAGCTGCTTGAGTACAACCGCATTAAGCAGATGCAAATCTCCGAGGAGGAGCGCGCGGAGAGGTGCGACGGGCAGGATCAGGATCAGGAGCGCGTGGCCTTAACGGAAGCAGCGCCAAAAAGGGAGCGAGATTCTGTTGTGGGGTTCTCGAGGACGGCTGCTATCTGCTATCTGTCAGGCGAATGGATGAAATTGTGCGCCGTCTTGATAGGTTGCCGCCAGAAGGGAGGGAAGGGGACCGCAGATAGCAAGCACGAAACTCTGGTAATTCGCCGTTGTGGTGGATGTATTGGTATGCAGGGAGCTGGATCTTAAAATTCTGCAGGAGGCACTGTACCGAGAAGCGGCTGATGAGGCCGCTGAGCTTGCATATCGCGAACGTCGCCGCGAGGAGATGCAGCGGTACCGAGAGCAGCTGGCACTGATGATGGAGAAGGAGCGCGAGGAAACTGCAGAGCGTGACGCATTAATTCTCAAAGCGCAACTTGAGCAAGAGGCGCGGCGTGACGCTGAGATTGCTGCTCGTGAGCTAGCCCGAAAGCAGCTGATGAAGCAGGTGGACGACATTCGACAGCTGCAAATCCAAGAAAAGCTGGCACGCAGGTGCGACGGGTTTCAGCATGAATGATTTCCCCTACCCAAGGATTAACGGGCGCCGTTCACTACTTGCCGGTGGTCACCCGATGCGGCCATTGAACTTCGGGCATTGAATCCACGTCAGGCATTGAATTCAGGCATTGAATCCCCTTCCTTGCATTTCGGGCCTGCACAGGATGGCAATGGCAGAGGAGAAGGCGTTCGAGCGCGCCAAGATGTTGGAGGAAGTGGCTGCGGCCGCCGCAGATGCAGCACAGCGTGCAGCGGCCGAGCACAAGGCCGGCGTGACGCGCCGCTTGGAGCTGCAGACTCAGATCGTTGCGCGGGCGCATATGAAGGCGGCAGAAGAAGACGAGAAGCTTCGAGAGGCCGAACAAGTCCAGAAGGCAGAAGAGGCGTATCTCGCAAAAGTTGATCATACGCTTGCAAGCACCGATCCACCAGTATGGCACGGCCGACGGAAGTTCCAGTGGAATTAGTTGATCGGTCAACCCAGCAAAAGTGTTGCGGGTGGACTGAGCAAGCAGGGCGCGAGGATGACGTGCACATAGTGCATCGCAGACGTTTGCCAATTCGACTTGTGCGTCCGTAGGAAACGTGTTTGTATATTGACTGTCGGGGGAGCGAGGCGTCCCCCGAATGCTCCTCCGGGGTGGTGCCGCAATGGCGCTAGCGTTGTGACTAGTGAATTTGGAGTTACTGACCTATAGTTACATATAGCGACTGCGATGACTGACGAGTGCATATGATAGAGATGGGCAGGCAAGCTGGGTAGTATTGAGTTTTAGGCTTCTTACATTAAAACAACCATCACTGCCGTATGCCGCTGACAGGCAAGACGACTGGGTGGCATGTAGCTGTTGAGCTAGGTGGCCCCAAGCATGCGATGCACCAAGTTATGTGCAGGATACACACAGGCGCTCATTTTCGTTTAGGCCACCTTTCCATCGCGCTCCTTTTCTGCCAACGTGAGCATTGTTTGTCCGCGGGGTCCGGAGGTCTTCCTGTGAGGTCAAGTCCGTGTTGCGCAGTCCAGCAGCTTCAGTGCACTGCGGTCCCAGCTGGGGAAAGGGCTGCAATGGGCGGTGAAGCCGGTGGCTGGCTCATTAAACCGCCTTTAGTAGAGCTCTCCAGACCTTGTGGAACACCGTTGTGTGCATCGCCGTGTCGATGTGGGCCGAACAGGTGCAACACAAACGACAGGACCGTGAAAATGATGGGATTCCACACCACCTGCAGGAAGGAGCGGCCAAGTTATGCTTATCAAGGGACTAAATTAACTATATAGAGACTCCGGCCCGTTTACTTCATCATTTAAGTTGGGACGGATGGCTCCTGCGGTGGGTACGTCGTGATAAGGCCAAAACCGCAGCACCGGTTTGTTGAGCCTAAAGCCAAGACCTATTCTCGGTGTGCTGATGGGCCCAAAGGCATGGTGGCGAGCATAACAAAGTATAAGATGTTGGAGATGGCAACCCCGATTCCTCATCTAAAGCTCTGCAGAGCTTTAGAGCAAGGACATCCTGCATGGCCTTAACGCAAATCCTGCATGCTGGTAGACCTGATATCCCTTGGACAGACTCACAAGGTAGCGGATGCCGTCCATCATCTGCAGGCCATCAAGGACAGGCAGTGAATGTGTGAGCCGTCACGTAGCCAGGGAAGCCTGGAGTAATGCGGACAGAATTCCATCATGATGCCGTACGCTTCTCATTGTTAACTCAGGTGGGCCAAAGGGCAAATTCTCGAGGGTTGCCTTTTCACCCAACTCTACGCCAGGATTCCGTGCTTACCTGAATCCAGGTAATGTTGTGTGTCTCCCATGGTCTATCCGAAAGCAGTGTGCGCAGATCCACCTTCTCGCCGCATTGCGGGCATGTGTCCTGCGACGCAAGGGATCGTGCATATGAAAGCGGTGTGGCGCCTGAAAAGTTACGCCATTGCACAACTGTCATGCGATTTGGGTTTTGGCGGCAGTTGCACTGCAGTGTCATCAATGCCGCTCTGCCAGGGCCAGGGAAATTCCACCTGCACCCAAGTTCGCATGTGCTGAACATCCCAAGAGTAGGCCAACACAACATATCAGGGGGGGGGTCCAACCAGTACCAGAAAGCTTAAAAACTCCAGTTTCTGGCCACGTTGCATTTGCCATTGCTGATTCCCCCTTGTATCCTTAGGGCACAACAGCTCAGCGTATCGTGCCATCAAAACTGAAAAGATCCCCTGTCACATTGAGCCCGTGTGCATACCTTCTTCCCCACCATGGTCCAGCCCCGGATGCACAGGTCATGGAAGCAATGCTTGCACGATAACTGCACCGTCCGCTCTGCTGCGAGCTGCCCGCTCTGCTTCGTCTCCTCGCCGGTGCCTGACGCTGGCACTAGCTCATCGCACAGCTCATTCCCGCATATGCCGCAGTTGTTTACCCGACTGACCAACTGCCGCCCCTCGATGCCCAACCGTGCCGATAAGCTGTCCGTCGCGACTTGCGCGCAATCGCGACCCAATATTCCGAAGTACAAGCCGTACCATACGAGGTCAATGGGCAGGTCCTTGGGAAGGACCAAGTGCAATAACGGCCCCATGCCGAACACCTCGGCCAGGACAAGGCAGTAACCCACGACTCCCACCACCTTGCTGGCCCGGTACACGCCTAGGAAAAACGTGTAGATCTACGGCGGCAGAGGACATCGGGCCGAACAGTACGTGATGGTTAGGTTGGGCTGGGGTCAAAGATGCGGTTCCATTGGGTGATGAGCCATGTCGGCGACACAACCCCAGCTTCACGGTTCGCGACCTTGCTGCTAGATCATGGGTCGCAGCCCCAGCTGATGACCCAATGCACCGCAGCTGCGGGACCTACCTGCCGCGGCGTCGTCCTCGCCAGCTTTTTGCGCGTGGACGTCCATAGCAGGCGTGCGGTGACAGCGGAATACATTGTCCAAACAAGGAGGAAGCGCCAAAAATGTAAGTGTAGAGAGAAGAGGGCGGGCATGAGCCATAGCCCAAGCAGCGTGACGAGCTCGTATGACTTGCGGTGCCTCTTCTTCCAAAGGAATAGCGCCGTCTGATGATTGGGGTTACCATTATAAGGGGAGCGGTCTCAATCTTGTTTTGCAGAGAAAAGTGCGTGGACAGGTGTGTGGAATGACAAGGGTAAACTGGAAAGCCTCAAACTCCAGGGCCGGCTCCTGCAAATCCAGTCTGAAGCATATAACGACAGCACAACCATGGCAGCAAAGCAGATGATACACGACTGTCACGGCACATAAGCTCGGCCGCCGCCTGCTGCCAACCAAGCCAACAGCCTGCACGACGTGCGGGTTTACAAGCCGTACGCTGCCGTAACCTAACCCGCTCTAACTGACCTGTGCTCCAACCATAAGTATCATGATACCGTACAGGAGAAGGATGGCCAGAAACGGGCTCATCCGCTCTTCCCGTTCTTCCCCTGGTAAAGGGGGCCCAGAGTACAACGGATGGCCAACGAAGGGCGTGTTGCCTGCTTGATCTTCTAGACCATCTCCCAAAGGCGCAACAACGGTCATGCTCTTTGAAGCAATCAACCAAAGCAAACGATGTGGGGAACAGATGAACACAACTGCTTAATAAAGCGAAGACTCGTAAGATAAAAATCGAAACCTGTTACCCAATGCTGGTTCAAATTGAGTTACAAATCAGGCCTGAGGATCCCTGCCTGAATATTTCATATGACGATGTACGACAAGCAAAATGTTGTCAAGAAACAAATCCCCTTAGGCAAGCCTAAGCATAGTTTGACTGCTTCGCACATCTCTACATTGGTGTCGTTACATTTTTACGACTACATGCATATTGGCTTCTTTCCTTTAGCTCTACTACTTCGAATTATTGCCTTTACCCTGCTGAACCCCAGGATTGCTGTATAATCAGCACATAAAATTGCTGCCACGCTCACCCACTTTTGAGTCGAGGCTCTGCGCGGCTCGCATGGCGGAGGATGGAGATACGGAGGCCTATGGGCAACTCATAGTTGCCAAAGACGCCCTCGTCCATCCGGAGGAGGACGAGGGGAAATTGAAGGATGATTCAGAGGACGAGACCGACCTGGAGGACTCTGAGACAGAGTCGGGGACGGAGAGCGAGACCGAGTCAGAGACCGAGTCAGAATCAGAGTCGGAATCAGAGTCAGAGTCGGAGACTGAATCAGAGACTGCGTCGGAATCTGAAACGGAAACTGAGACGGCGACGGAGGCGGAAACTACGGAGACAGAGCGCTCAACCACGGTGACGGGGACCGGCGACTTCAAATCCCCACGGCCGCAGCAGCATCTGCCTGCAGAAAGCATGCCGTCGCTTTCCTCACCTCCTGGTGACGGAGGTGCGGAGGCGTTTTTAGCCACACCGGAGGTCGAGGCACTGCAAGCTGACGAGGACGGCGAGCCCCGTAGTATGCAATCTGCATCTGATTACGAGGTCCCCGCAGCGTCTGTACCTTGGTCCCTGCCATCTGCACCGTCACGAACCGGAAGCCGCGAAGGCGCATCATCGCACCAGACGCTAAGAGCTGAGGAAGCAAGTGGGTCGGTTACCGAACACGCACAGGAGGAGCAAGGTGAACCAACCACGTGTTCGTTACCGCCAGCAGTGTCGCGAAACAATAGCAGAGAATGCTCTCGTAAAAGCAGTCATCACGAGGCGAGCACGAGCGGGTCAGGCCTCCGGCAGTCTTCCAGCTCCCTACCTCCTATCAACTCGCGCAGCGGCTCCCAGCAGCCATCCCGTAAAGGCTCCTCGTCGTCTTCGCAACCAGTGGGCAAGCGCAGTCAAGCGTCAAGCCCCAAGGGCTCGCCTTCCCGAAACCCCATCGCGGCGCCGCGTTACTACCAGCCGCCGCCACCCCCGCCACCGGCCCCCATGCCGAAGCCTCGGGAACGGCACGACACGTCAGCTGTGGATCCATTATTCCTCCAGACTGCGGTGTACCGGACAGTGCCAAATGTGGGGCGCGTGTACGACTGGAAAGTCCAACACGAGGTGAACGCCGCGCTCTCCAAACAACGGAAGCAGCAGGTGTGTCTTATGGGAAGCAGTTATACCTTGTCAGGGCTGGGTGGCTAGTTTTCTGCCAGTCGGGGTCGGGCAGGGCATGGCATCATAGCGACGCTGTGCGACTAGCTGTGAACGGCAGAGTGGGATCTGGAACTTCGGAGCTGCAGTTGTGGGTGCCGCGGGCGCTCAAGAACGTCGCCCTTGCTCACGTGTTTGCTCTGTGGGATTTATAATGGCCATGCGCCTATGCAAGAACCCAGCGTGGGTTTCTTGCCGTGCCATGCGAACTAACAAACCTGACTCGCCGCGTGCACAAAGGAGGACAGTGGACTGGCCTCTTGGCTGCCTTGGTGACCACTGTACGTTGCGCATAACAGTCCTCTTTGCCTTACCCTACCTGTGCATCTGTAGGCACAAATGGAAAAGGTGCTTGAAGCTGCACGGTTACAGCTGCAAGTGCGGGAGGCCAACGAGGTGAGCTGAGCGTCCGAAAGGGGATGTCTTGATAAAATAATTGTTGTTGGACCAATACTTATGACTGCGGGACAGCCTGCTCGGTCCGCGGGGCTGCTGGAGGATCTCGGTAGCTGCGACAGGCCAGCTCTACACTAATGCCTGCACAAGTACCTGCCATGCGCATGTTGAACGCATCATTTGGACATGCTGGCCAGGCTTCCCCTGACTTCATGATTTGCCCTGCGTTGCAGCGTGCCTTTAAGCAATGGGTAGCCACTAAGGAGCAAGAGAAGCAGCAGCAGTACCAGCAAAACCGGCGTATAGCCTACGTGACGTCCGTGTACCAAAACCTGGTCAAGGACGATCCCGTGGAGCGCAAGACTCGCGAGGCGCTCTGGGTCAGCAACTTTGCGTATACGGCATCTGACAGCTCCCCTCCACGCGCCTTGTCGCGCAATAGAGTCAGTGAAGACTCCGAGTCCGAGCGATTCCGCCTCTGATCAAGGGCAGTTTGGAATCTCTCAGGACGGTTGGAGGAACGACACGGCGATCAAGGGCCTTGTGTGTGATGTGTCTGTTTTATGACTGTACGGCATGCAGATGTGCATGCCAGCTAGCTTAACGCCCCGCATTTGGAGATCTGTTGATGAATGCTTTTTGCAGGTTGGGCAAGTGGCAGGGGGTGCGTGGCCTAGTGGCCCTAGAACGCGTGCCATTATACGCGGTTGCTGGAGTCGCAAACTTTTCCGGCAACGATTGATTCCAGAAGTAATGAACGGACAAAGAACTGGTGCTTCAAAGTCAGCTATGCCGTTGGACCTTCCGGCAGCTGCAGATTGTACGAAGGCTGAATTCTTGTTGGTGTATTTGAGGACGTTTGACGTGCTAAAGTTATCTTGGCGGTGCTTGCCCTTTGTGTCATGATGAGCAGCCTGTATTGGGGCGCAATTTTCGCTAAGTAGGAAGCGGGGTCGCAGGATTGTGCGAGATGAGCATGGGAAGAAGGCCAACTGGATACCGTTGGCAGTTGGACTACAGTACATAGTCTTAGGCATCACCAGGGCAGGAACATAACACTGCCGACTGCCGGGTGGCGAATCACATAGCGTTATTTAATTTGACAGATTTGGGATGGCAGGGTAGGGTAGGGTAGGGCAGTCATCGACAGCGAGTCATGCTTCGCTGCGGAAGCCCCATTTGCTGTTACCTTGATGCATGCTCTTAAGGACGGTGTCGTGCCGTTCCTTTCCAACGGCTGCTTCTTATCGTCACCAGATCGTGTTAGGGTGCTACCGGCTTAGGACCAGGTACCAAAATCTACATATGCGTACAGCCGAGGCTGCCATGCTACGTATGTGATCCAAACCAGGGAAGATGACCCGTGATCCAGACCGTCCCAGCGAAGCAGCATCCGATGAAACCCTTTCCCCTGGCCACTCTATTGGCAGCTTTCCCGCGAGCGTGTGTGTCAGGGTGGTGAGCAGCTGCGCTAGCATGCCGCAAAGCCAGACTCGGGGTGGGACTGCCACGCAAAAACCGTGCTGACTTTGCCTGCAGCACATAGTCACCCCCCGGGCAGCACGCCTTCCAATGCGGGCTCAGTGCTCCCGGACTTGCAGCTCCAACCAGCCTTAATACGAGACTCGTCGGATAGCATACGCTTTATATGTCCTCATGATGGCACCATGGTGGTATTGCATTACCTGGTGCGACGGGTTATGCGGTTGCAGGTAAATAGTCTACTATGAAGGGTACTGATGTGCTCGGTATGGAATTTACTGAGTGGGTCTGGCCTTCATGTTTATCATATATCAGCTTTGTTTTAACATTGCGTTCCTCTAGTTTTGTTCATGCATACGGGACCGTTGGTCATGAGGCTCCGTTTTCAACGACTCCTCCATCTTGACATCAGCTTTATTTGCTTGCTTCAGAGTGTCAATCTAACTACTTATTAGAGAATATCGTGGTTGGTTGCCGCCGGGCTCGAGCGACGGCACATTCACAAACCTTATCAGGGTTCCAGTAACTAGTTAAACCCTCATTCGTAGCTTTGACTCCTTATGGCACTAATGCATAGGCAACTGCGTGGGCACCGTAGCAGTGATGCTCGCACAGCGCTTGCAGCACCGACAGTCCTGCCTCCCCGAGCTTGCCGGCAACTTGCTTCTCACCACACAGTTGGAAGAGCAAGCAGCCGACGTCATTTACTCCAACAACTTGTTGGTGCAACGCTCCTTGTCCACACCCAAAGCGTCAGCCCAGCTAGTGCCACACTAGCAGCTGCGGACCGAGCTGGCGAGGTGTCCACGTCGGCATCACCACAATGGATTAACCCTCTTGATCCACCAACATATGTAACTGCGACTGGGCGGATTGTTGCAAGTAAGCGGATGGACCGCATGGCATGCGCTCGCTCCTGTACCCCGCACTCATGCGAAATATATCAAGCGCATTTCATTTGCGCAGTTGGGGATCTTCACGGAGACCTGGACAAAGCTGTTGAGGCACTCAAGTTGGGGCGTGTCATCCGAGTCAGTGACGAAGGGGAGGTGGCTTGGGTAGGGAGCGATACGGTCGTGGTGCAGCTAGGCGACGTGCTGGACCGAGGAGACGTCGAAATTGGTGAGTGTTTTACACCGCACAGGCAATTCTGCCGCCGGCTTGGGGTGTCGATGCCTGGGTTGTTCTTGGCCGCTTCCACCAGCATGCGCATGCTTGCTGCAACCGCTCTTAAATCTGCTAAGTGCTCATTCCCCAGCACCCGACGTGGCGCGCGTGCTAGGGTATGAGTTGCTAGTAGCCGCTCCGCAAGCGCGGAAGCTACCCTTGGTGGAGTCTCATCTGACCTTTGATGTCCGTTGGTTGCGCAGGCATAATAAACTTGTTACGTTACCTTGACTCGGAAGCTCGGAAGTGTGGCGGTGCGGTGTATATGCTCAACGGCAACCACGAAAGCCTCAACGTGTGTGGGGACTTCCGGTGAGAGCCGCGTGCGGCGTGACGGTGACGACCCTAACACGCACCCCGTACCCCGTACCCCTTACTGACGGCTTCAGAGGGGCCCCTGACTGCAGCACTCCATGAGTTACACAGCCATCCCGGAGGAAAGTAAGGAGCTCATGCAATCCGACTTTACATTTTAATCATCACTGAGTCCTATCGGTCTTTGAAAGTCGTACAAATAGCGACATGGCAGAGGCAAGCGCGCACAGAGCTCATCGCGCGCGCATCGTAGCGTGCTTATGCTCAGGTCAGGGGTCCTCCACGGTTGTGGAGCTTCTAACACCGCCTGCAATTGTTGGACTGCCCCCCACTCAGGTACGTCACTCCAGGGGCATTCGCGGAATCGGCTATGTACGCGGGACTCAAGGAGTCGGATCTGAAAGACTGGCAGCTGGTTGCCAAGGTGCGCTACTCGCTGTTCAAGCCCGGTGGCGATTTGGCGAAGGAGTTCGCTCGCAACCCCACAGTATTGGTTGTCAATGACACCGTCTTCGCGCATGGCGGCCTCTTGCCTATTCACGGTACGGTATTCCGTCACGGGCTCAGGGTCTGTCATTGTTGGGGCCACACAGCGCAGAGCTCAAAAATCTTTAACTGGCTTGGAATCTTGATCTGCAATGACACCTCGGGGTTCTTGGAACTTTGTTACTTGCTCGATGCGTCCTAGTGTGAGGTAGCGAGGCAAGGTGCTTGCATTGTTGTTCAGAGTGGAAACGGTCGATCCGCTTTTCGGCAGTCGGCAATCGGCGCTTGGTAGCCCTCTGCTCTATAAACAGTATGAGCATGGTGCATAAGGGCGTTGTCACGCTTTGGCGTTAGGACTGCCAACCAACTGCTCTACTGCTTTTTCAAATGCAGTTGAGTACGGGATTGAGCGGCTAAACAGCGAGGTGGCGGCATGGATGCGCGGCGACCAGCAGCCAGACGGTAGCAAATGCACCCCGCCCTTTCTTGCTATGGGGTAAGTCGCAGATATCCTAAGCCGTGCTATGGGTACAGGATTCGGATGGCATCCTGAAATGGGTCACACAGCGACTTTTGACCGGACGCAGCTCCATCCAAAACATGCGGAAGTCGTGTATTGACGTTTTTGACTTCTTTCGTCGCCATCTTGACGCGTTGGTTGGCAGAAGGGGGCCGCTCGCCTCTGGTCTTATCAGTATGCTATCTCTTCCATAATCAAAGGGCTATATACGCGTACGCGAAGTCCGCTGGGTTCTAAGTCTTCGGAATGTAAAACCCCTGCGGCAGGAGGAGATGTACCCAACGCCAAAGTAGATATAGCCTGGCAAGTAGTAGTGGTCATACATGTCACTTCTGTTGGCTCGTGCAGGGACGCGAACAGCGTCATGTGGAACCGGACCTTGTCTAAGGAGCGCTTTGCCACGCCGTATGAGCGCTACCATGCATGCCGCGCGCTGCAGCAGGCGCTTGCCAAGGTCCACGGCAAGCGCCTGGTCGTGGGGCACACTCCGCAGCTCAGCGGTGTCAACTGTGAATGTGAGAACCAGGTCTGGCGTATCGACGTCGGGATGTCGTACGGCGTGCTGAACCGGCCGGTTCAGGTTCTGGAGATTACGCAACACGAGGGCGGTGAGGCCGAGGTGCGCATCATCCGCAGCACGCCGACCTCGTCGCAAAGCAGCTATGATGATGACGACTTGAGCGCTGCATCCGCGCTATAGGTTGACAAAAAGAGTGAGGGCGGTTGCTCGCGCCTGGGAACACACCTAGGTTTGTCCTGCTGGTGAGGGACGTGTGCGATTGCTGGTGCTCATTGCGTCATCGCGTTGTGGGAGTTCGTTCTCGTCGCGTTCCAGGCATGGATGCACGTTGGCCAGGTCTGTTGCTCCGCAGCGTTGAAGCAGATAGACGGGAGAGTGATGGCTTGTGATGTGTTGAGCGGTGAGGACCACTTGTTGGGCGGTCGAACACGTCGTGAGAGCCGGCACGTAGAGCCATCTAACCAGGGTCTACTCGCTGCGAAGCATCGCAATCATGTCCGACGAGGGTGGCCGGTCTATACCTGGGGGAACGGCTGTAACGGCTTTCTCTAAGCGACCGGCATACAGATTTTACAGGCATAATAGCTGTATGTGCTTGAATTATGTGTGCAGAGTAATTGGTGGTGACCCGTCCTGCGACAGGGGCGATTAGTGGGAGGGATGTGGAGTCGCAACGAAGGCGCGAGTATAGAGAAACTGGCAACGACAGATGATTTTTGTACGTTTGGTAAGAGTGGAATGGTTTGGAAAGGTAGACGAAGGGAGCTGAGCACTGCAGGGGGAGGAGGTTGTCCGAGTGTGCTGCTGATGTCGGAGGCCTTGTGATTTTCCGAAGCTCTTACGCATCTCTGCAAGCAGGAGCAAACTAACCGCAGTGTATATTGGGTTCCAGCCCAGCTTATGTATGCTATACTTATATGAGATTAATGAGTAAACAGAAATGGAAATCGAATGATGGCTCGTGTCATGATTTGTCGTACAATGGCGGGTGGACTCGCACTGTAATAACAGGACACCGTTCAGCTGTTTACAATTGAGGAGTACGTTGCGGTCGACAGAACACTCCTGAAATTCTCTCTGACGAATGCAGTGTTGTCCTGGAGTTGTATATATATGTTTGCATGCGGGGTTTTACCAAACACGAGGTCTTATCGGCCCACAAGTGCATGCAACGAACTTATCGACGCGCATATGTCCATATGCGATTAGGGACAAGTTATACTTGCAAATATAATAGAAAATGTGTTCAACAGGATAATCTTCTCTCGCGAACGGTAGTTAGTTTGCCGACCATCGTGTCTCAACGTGCCTCGCCGAAAAACCGCATTATAAAGCCCTCCCGCTTGCACCATTCTGCAAGCACAAATAAACCTCTCCTCTCAGTTCTGCTAAAAATTGGAATGAAATACGGAACTCCCCAAGTTCCCCTACGCCTTACATACGTCACAAATGACTCACTTGCACTATGCAAAATCCCCACTCTCCCCACCAAAATCACCGAGCCCCGAAAAATCTCGCTCATGGACCGATCCAGGCCGCCAGGACTTCACCCCTCAAAACGCCCGCACCTACACTGGCGAAGTGCCAAATGACCGGCAGCGCCTAATGACCAGCAGCGCCTGCTTTGTGCCTACAACTTCAAAATGTTCAACAGGTTTCGCACTACCAAGCAAATATAGGAAATGGGCAATCGTCAACCGCGTCCCCCCTCTCCATACCCGACGTACGCTAAGACCCAACCCCACTCTCGTAACTGCCAAGGCCTCGTATCTATATTATATCGTAACTACCAAGGTCCACACAGGCTGCCACTTTTCATTACCACTGGTACTTGGCGGCCACGAGGACCTCCTCGTAAATAGACGCCGCGTTGTCCCAGGTCAGGTCCTGTTCCATGCCACGACGCTGTATGCCATGAAAGGACTCCCGGAACTGACGGTACGTGTAGAGCGCGTTGTTGATCGACTCACGCAGCTTGTTAGCCTGTTGTGTACGAAAGACGACGCAAAAAGAATGGCGCAGTAGTGTCGCAAATAGGCGAGAGGCCGGCGCCGATGTTGGTTGGTGCTTCCAAAAAGAGGACAACCCAAGGGGCACCCGTTGCCAAGCGGCACGGGTAATTGTGCTTCTGTATGTGGACAGAATTCGTTGGCAGGAATTAGTTCGTGCTGTCCATTCGCGCGGGCATATGCTGTTGTGGCGCGCCTTGGGGTATGGGGATGCTTCAAAAGCAACGGCGGACACCTTTGCGATGGATCAACGAGACTTTTCCCCCTGAAAAGCCTCTCGACCATCCCCGCCTCATACGCACCTCAGCTCGGTCAAAGCACCAGCCGGTGCCGACGTTGTCGTACGGGTTGTACTGCTTAACAGTATCACGCAGCCCGCCCACAGCATGCACAATGGGTACTGTCCCGTACGCCATCGCGTAGAGCTGGTTGAGGCCGCACGGCTCGAAACGCGAAGGCATGAGCAGGATGTCCGCCGCCGCCGTGATCCGGTGCGCCATCTTTACCGAGAAGCCCACCCAGCCGCGGCACTGGTTCTTGTTCCTGTGTGCGCGCAAAGAAGTCGCAGCAGCCGATAAGAGGACATTAGGTGCACGCCGATGCCCTCTCGAAGGCCTATTAAACAGAGCAACCCTATTAAACAGAGCAAGTGCACGACTGCAAAAGCCATAAAGTGACGCCCAGACGTCCCTGAGACCAGTGTCGGTATCCATTCATAGAGCCGACACCTAAGCGCGTGCCACCGCGGCACATACATCATACTCCGGGAAGACTTGACGTGGCTTTTGCCACCAGTACGAGCCTCCCTACCTCACTCGACTAATATCAGCTACCACGCGCCAGAAACGGACCTGTTCTCCATATCCCGCAAGGCGTCTTCCAGATCCTGGCGGCCACTCCCCAGCATCACCAGCTGGCACTTCTCCCCCATGATGTAGTCGTACGTGTCACGGATGAGGTCCACCCCTTTTTGATAGTCCAGTCTCCCGATGAAGCCCAGCAGCGGCGCGTCCGGATCCACAGGCAGGCCCAGCTCCTTCTGCAGCGCCATCTTGCAAGCCCGTTTGCCCTCGACCATGGTATCCAAGGTGAAGTTCCTGTAGCCGTCGGTCTACAAACCAGGAAAAGCACAAAACAGGGAAGGCATGTCCACAAGCTTTGGGTTAGTGGACGGGTAGGTATTAGTTGTAGTAATAGGTGTTGCAGCGAGCACCAGATAATAGACCCAAAGGGGATATATACCACAGCAGGGTAGGTAGGGGGCCATCAGGACCCACAACGGACTGCCGTGCTCTTTACACTGGGCAGGTGCGCGGATGGGCACCACCGCGGCCGCCACCGCTCGGCCTCCACATAGCAATCCAGTATGGAGACCACTCTCTTTCACATGCACATCACGATGTGCCCTAGGGAACTTCTCAGACAGACAGACAGACAGACAGATAGACGCACGGCTTTCCACAGACACACTTCCCGTGTGTTCAAGGTATTCCACGCAGCCACGAGAGGCTGAGGCGGCTTAAGAGAACAAACCCATACACACACGGTAGGAAAGAGAACACGCTGTTAGGCATTTGGACGGTGCTGACCACCACCTGGAGCCGCCATCACCTGAAGGAATTCGTCCAAGGCGGGATTCCACTCCTGGTCGTCGATGCCATTGACAATGCCGCGCAGCTTCCAGTTGTTCACCTTGAGCACCTCGTGCAGGCCCCAACCACCCTCCTGCGCGGGCACGTCACCCAAACCACAGCTCTTCCGCAATGAATTGAATTGAGGTGAGGTGAGGTGAGGTGAGGTGAGGTGAGGTGAGGTGGGGTGAGGTGGGGTGAGGTGGGGTGAGGTGGGGTGAGGTGGGGTGAGGTGGGGTGAGGTGGGGTGAGGTGGGGTGAGGTGAGGTGAGGTGTGGGGTGAGGTGGGGTGAGGTGAGGTGAGGTGCGGTGAGGTGAAGGCCCAACGTTGCCTCCCCTCGTGGAATACAGGAAGTGCCCTCCGGGGCCCATCAGGATGCGACGAATATCAACAGCCTACATACTTGTCGTTGTTGTTCGACACCTGCCGCACGTGCGGCGGGCCCCAGCTACATGATACCGAGTCATCAAGGGCGTTCATATCCAAACACGCCTGGCAGCGTGTATACCAGTCACAAACGTTCGCCGGGGATGTGACACCGCGAAACCCATCGCGAAAGCCAGGTTTTGATATCCTATTATCAACGCACCGGCGTTTGGCACTCCCAGGCGTAGCCGTGCGACACTGCCACCAGCCGGTGCGCACATTCCAGACCCGCCTTCATGACGTTCATATGCTCGCCACCGATCGGGTCATACAGCCGCATCCGCTCGCGGTACTCGTCATTCAGCTCCAACTCACTGGACTCAGCAAACGGACCGCGGCCCTGGTGAGCCATGTTGTGGATCACAAACACGCAACGCGCGTACGTCATCTTCCCGTAGTCCCGGTAGTGCGCCTGTGAAAAGTTGTCACGGCAAAGGGCGGGAAAAAATGGGAGGGAAAAGCGCCTGATGTCGCATTTTCCCCGCGCCTGCAGAGCTAGGCTTGCGAATATCCTGAGCCCCGATAGCCTGCATGATGCCCAGCATTACCTTTAAAAGTTTTAAAAAGTCGAAATACGGAGTCTTTAACAACGACAAAATTTGAATTCGGTCGGATGCCTCGGCCCGCATCGCACCTGAAGATACACTGGCAGCAACGCCGTATGCCAATCGTTCGCGATGAAGCACAGGTTCTCGTCACCGTAGGTGATGCCGCCGCAGGGCACATGCCACACAGCCTCCAGAGCGGCCTGTAAAGCCCACAATGCAAAGACGGCCATGGCGACACAAGCGCGAGAAACATCAACAACGGTCGATATGCGTTGGTAATGGCCCTGGCACTCTCGTGGCCATGGTGTGCACGCATCCAGCTCATCGTCGCGACGTTGCCACGAACTCTGAATGCTTCAGGGTAACATGTCACCCCGTTGGCTAACTGTCCCGCGCCCGCAGGACAGGCGGCGACGAAGGGAATTCCTCACAAGGCGATAGAGCCACAAGGCACACACCGGGCCAGCGACGTATCAACATCCCACTTCCCGGCGCTGTCCCGCTTCATGGTGCGATGATGTGTCTCCCGGCTGACTGCAGGTGTGACTGCAAATAGTTGACATACTTCGGCTTCCAGAATATAACAAACGCAGGATAACACGCGCGCTGACGCACCTTGCAGAGCAGAGCACAGCGGAACAAAATCTCGCCGCGCTCGCCCCCGTAAATGTTCTTGCCGCGGTTGTGGAAGGAGGAGTGGTCCACAAAGATATAGTCCACTCCGTCCACGTAGGCGTGGAAATAGCCCACCTGCAGCGCAAAGAATGTAAGCCACCCGCAGGCCACCATTCCACAGCAGGAGAAAAAGATACGGCAGCGAAAAAAATCTGAAACACTACTGAACACAGGGGGTTCCGCCTGCTGCGTCATGTCGTCCAACCGACACCTAACCGACACCCTGTGGTCTCGGATGGACATGCTCGCACCTCCTGCTGGGAGTTGAAAACGTTGTAAATCCGCCTGACGCCTGTCTCCCAGGCATTCGGGTAGTTTTCGTAGCGCGGTACCACCACCATGACGCGATGGCCACGGCGAGCAAGGGCCTTGGGAAGCGCCGCCATGACGTCCCCTAGACCGCCTGCAGAGTGATAAAGTGGGCAGCGGCGGCGAGGTGCCATCACCTGACAGCTTCAGATTTACGAAACCAGGGCAGACGAGCAGTGGAGTCATTATTGTTGCGGCAGCTAGCGAAGATAGCTTATTCGTGTGCGGTCGTGGCAAGATGGTCCTTGTGATCCGCTAGCTCCCAACTTTTTCATCTGAAAGGTCGCATGAACTGTCCGACAGAGCTCAGGCCGATTTTGCAAATGGACAGGGCCGATTGATACGCTGCAAAAGCGGTGCAACACCGCAGGCCCCGGCCCCGGACGAGCCAAAGGTTGACACGTACCTGTCTTAGACCAAGGCGCACATTCAGCGCCCACCATAACCACGTTCATCACGTTGGGGCCTGCCAGCGGCGGCGGCTTTTCCAAGGCAGCTGGCTGCTCCTCGGCGGGTGATGGCAGCGCCTCTGCCATCGGCACAGCGGGTTCGATGTACATCTCCGACTCCATGGACAGTGGCAACGTCGGGACCTGTTTGGGGTTGCGGGAAAGAAAATCAAAGGGTCATTCATGCTGATAAAACGAGCAGTGCCCGATCTAACACGCCGTTGACCTACGTGCCGGTCAAACACACCGAGTGGTATGTGCAGCAACACTAAGTGCTACTAAACCCGGGGCTTCCGGAGCATACGGATTACACGTAGAGTAGTCTTCGGAGCCTGAGCATCTAAGCACACCCAGCCCGGCTTAGCGGTAGGTAGGGTTGGCTATGGGGTAAACAAATGGCGCTCTGCCGCTACTCGACTGACTGTAAACGGCAAGCTTACCTCAAAGATTGGCACTGAGGGCGCGGTGACTAGAGAGGGTTTCGGCACGGAGGGCTTAGGCGGAGGAGATGGGGGCGAGAGGGGAGCTTTGGAGGGCGCGGGAGGAGAAAAAGTCTGCGCGGCGGTTGAGGACGGGCCTGTGCTGACGGTTGAATAAACTGGCACAGGTACAGGAGCTGGAACATCAGGTGCCGCCACAGCACCATTGCTAGATTTTGTAGCCGTCTCAGACGCCAGCCTGTTTAACTTATCCAGCAGCTGGGCCTGGTTTCGACGTCGTTCCTCAATCTGCAAATAAAAACCCCGCGTAAAACGCTTGGAAAGTCGCACATTCTCTAAACGTTCATGATAATCTTACTTCTGCAAGAAGCTGACGATGTATGTCGCCAATGTTATCGCCGCGTTGCTCTTCTTGCGCGTATGTAACATCTGAGGTGGGCGCGATTGAGGTCATTGCTCTACAGTGACATGCCATGCACAGACATTCACATTAAACTTACGAGTGCGCCTATGACATCGGCCGCTAACGCTAGCGGGAGAGTTCTGCGTAATGCCCAGGCGCCCCGTCGGCGCGCTGACTCCGGTCCGTGAAAGACCCGGCGATCGGCCCATCACCACGGTTGGCAAGGATGGTTGCATGTTTGGTGGGGCTCCAAAGGCCGAAACACTCAAAACTAGGGCTCACACAGGACGTAGTGGAAAAATTCTTAAAAGTCAAGACGGCAGTCTAGATGAGAATGAGCACCTTATTGCAAACAATAAGAATATTATAAAATATCCGCACAAGCACAGTTAGTTATGGCCTCGCTGTAATAGCCACGTCAGCGGAAAAGAGTCCTCAGAATGTACGGCTTTATCCGGACCAACAGAGGCAGAAGAGGAAAAGTCACTGCAAAAAGTACTGTTATGCATAACACAAACTTCAATGCTTGCGTAAAGCAATTCATCGATAACATAACAATTTTAAGCGCACGTTGTAACACGGTATTGTGGGGATGATCACCTCTCCCAAGTCACAAAAAGTGGCGTAACTCGGTCGCAAGATGCACCTAGGCCTAATCTAATAGGATGGTTATGGGCCCAACCTCGGCTGCCCCGGGCGACGATCCGCGAAACACCTTCACAGTCAAGGCGTCGACACCTCGTTCGCGCGCGTAAGCTTCCACGACCCGTTGCACCGCCGCATCGCCCTCAGGCCCGGCTTCCCCAAGAATGCACACTGTTCCACCGCATCCGCCGCCTGTAATTTTAGCACCCCAGAGCGGGCCCCCTTTTCCACCCCGTGCGCGCGACGCATCCAGCTCTTCACGGACCAAGGCAACCAGCCTGTCAGTGCCATCTGATCCGAGACCGCAGCCGCTGTAGCTCGCGTGACTCTGGAACATTAGTTCTCCAAGCAACCTGCAGGTAAACACACACATGAAACAGCATAAACGCTCCGTACATTTGCTGGTGGCGCAGATATAATCCTTAGTCATGTGCTTTTGCGTGGCGCAAACTTTGCCAACCCTAACAGGTATCCTGTGTAGCACTTTTCATCAATAAATAATCAGGAGAACATAACATTGCAGATCAGGACTGTCTAGAACCCATAAAACTTCGGAACTGTATGGAATGTGTTCAGTTTTAGCGCCATACTCCATCTTCACTCACTCGAGCTGCTCCGGCCCTGGCGGCAGCTGAAGCGCCTGCTTGAAGGTTTTGACCCGGAAATGCTCCTGGACGGGGTGGGAAGCCGGCTGGAGCACCGCATACCTGCGGAGAACCACGTGGTATCGTACAATGAAACACGTACGCGACATGTACAGCAAGGTGATGCAGAAGGAACATGATTGCTGATTAACAGAGGAGGAGCCTGGAAAGGGGAAGGGTTTTGGGGTTTTCAAATCCAGGCAAGTAGGTGCGATATGTGGATGCTATGTAAAGTTGTACCTGCATCAACAATGCCCCTGGCAGCCACACCATGCCTGGCGCACAGGCTAGGCAGCGGCCATTGCAGCATCTGCAGCCAGCAGCAGGTAAACAACACACGCAAGCAGCCAGCCCGTCTGCGTATCCTGGCTTTGTGCGGGCCCAGTCCTCGGTCGCCTACTCACTCCTTGTCTGGGTTGATGGAGGTAATGGAGTCGTAGTGAGAGGTGTAGCGGCGGAGGAACTCCGAGCCCTTGATTGACGATGGCAGTATTCCAGCGAAACGCTGCGCCAGCTGGCTCGGAGTGAGCCGCGCCAGGTAGCCGCCCCAGCCGGCAGGCGGCGGTCCAACATCGTCCTGCAGCACAGCGAGGGAGCCGCCCTCCAACGTGTCAACGCACACCGGTCACATGGCCACATCGTGAACAAGGAACCCAGCCAGGAGTACTTGTCTTGGGCGTCAAAACCCGTCCGGTCACACGCACGCACACACAAACACACACGCACATATGTATGTGGATATCATCGCCTGGTTGCCCATAGGGCCCCCGTGGAACCACACGGGAAGAGTCAGACGGCAACAAACGCACTCCACGCCTTGAGGGAACAGTACGCTAGGCAGCAGATTTCTGGACGGACTGGCAAAACCAGGATCGTATAGCTACCCGCCCACATGACGCGCGAGAGACTGCCATCCAAAGAGTCGCAACAGCGGGGTAGCAGCGGCAGTAGCGGGAGGAGGATACACCGCCATCAGGGCGCTTAGGCCATCCGGCCCGGACACCCAGCACCTCCGGCACCCACCGACTCCTTGCCGCTGCTGCTTGCGATACGCAGGCCCATGAATGCGCCCACTCGCACACTGCCGTAGTCGGAGCCACCCACGCTGTGGCGGATGCCACTGTCAACGCCCCACACCGCGACGTGCTCCGGTATTTCCACCGTGCCCTCGACCTCAGCGGGCTGACACAGCAGCGCCAGGAGGGAGTGTTGACGGCCCAGAGTGCAGGCCATCTGGGGAATGGAGACAGCCGTCGTCATCATCAGCATCAGCAGCAGCAGCGGCAGCGCGTGGGGAAGAAGTGGGATACAAAAACAAAAAAGCTCGGCATGGTACGGTTGCAAAGCCAGGTTGCGCAGGCCGCAGTACCGCTCTGTCAAAAGGCGCGACGTGTTCTTCTCCCCAAGGGGGAACCCCTAGTAGTTCAGCGGGGCAGCTTGGTGTGGTGTGTCCATCAGCCGCAACAGCACTGCAGTAGTATTGTACTGCGCTGCCTCCAATACTTCATATGTCCCCACTATACAATGCAGGACCGGGACGTCACCGTGGGGAAGGTGCGCAGCGCCGCCGCATTCGCTGACCTCCCAGTTGCATTCCTCTACCCGACCCCCCCCACTCGAGCTGGCCTCTCTGTCGGCAGTTGGCCCCCCTGGGGGCCCCCTCCCTCCCTCCCTCCCTCCCTCCCTGCCTCTCTCCCTCCCTCTGTAGCACGGACCTGATCCATGATGCCGCACGGCGCCCCCACCACCAGGTTCTCCACACGCTGGCACAGAATTGCCATCTGGCGCCCCTCCAGCTCCACCCCCAGGGCCCCGCACAGAGCCATCATGGTGGCCACCTCCACCGCAGCGCTGGAGGAGACACCCTTGCCCTCGGGCACACGGCTCTGCACGAGCACTCGGACGCTGCTGCAGGCCAGACGGGCAGCCACGGTGGACGCGTCGGGTCCATCCCGCGCCAGCACCAGAAGGCATCCGGCTATATAGGCGGCCCAGCTGGAGGCTGGGGATGCCTGCGTCGGAGATGCCAGTTGGAAGTTGGCAGTTAGCGACCGGAAAGGGATCGGGATCTGGGTAAGAGGGGACAGGCGGGTCTTTGGAAGCCCTTGGAAGGTCGGCTGGGCCCTCGTAGAGAACCCGATCGCTGCAGCATGCACACGGCGCGGAAACAATATTCATTCATTCACTCCTAGGTCGGCGGCTGACAGCGGAATTTAGAACTTTCCCCCGGGCTGACCTAGACATGATATGATAGCCCAAAAACTGCAAGGACACACACTGCGCGAGAGACGGACCGGGTGGGGGAACTGATCACAAGGCCACCACACCTTGAAATACGTCTGTGCCGCGTTGTATGCGAGGGGTTGGCCGCCGGGAAACAAGTCCTCGGAGTTGCAGGTGAATGTGGGCGCCCGGTGAGCCTCCTCTCCGGGCCCTGGAATGGATATGATGTGTACGGTGGCTGGAGATCCCCCGTCTGCAAGGACGGGTTCGGCTTGGGGCCGGAATGAAAAGGTACGATACGGACAACGTGGAAGCCGTGTTGGTTTTTCAATTAGGTTTATACTGGAGGGGCGGGCATCTCAATGCTTGGCCCATGTGTGCTGTTCGAAGTCAAGCGGGGACTTTCGAATTTCTGGACTGTGGGGTCCTAAGCAAGCAGGAGCCGCTGCCCTATGTGTCATCGGTGGTTCAGGCCTGCATGCTGCCCAGCATATGAACCCGTGTCTTTTGCCCAAATTCATTCAAGCAGGAGCGGCATGAAAACGTTGCTGGGGCGTCGTGCTGTGCTGTTAGATTGCCGTGTTTATGTACGGTTTTCGTACAGATGCCGTGGAGTTTCCCGCATGGGGAATTACATTCCTGTGTGTCTCGATTTGGGACGGCTCTAGAGAGCGCTTTCCCTTGTGGAGCTGGCATTTGGTCTGGATTACCTCGCGGCTGCAACAAGTGCACGCTTTACTTGGCCGGGGAGCTCATTCACCTGCGTCTTGCAGCTGCACGGCAACGTGCGCGGCTTCGCTAATGGGCATTTGCAAAACTAGGCTGCCACTGTAGTCTGCAATGCCGCCCATCACGTCCAGCCGGCCCGGAGCGCGTGCAACCACCAGCGGGGCATCCCACCTGAAGCGCCATATAACCATGTGGGAACCATGCGCTTAGGCTTAGACTGCGCAAACCTTACCGGAAAAGGTTCTTTGCCGGACCGTTAACCCTTTGCTGGTCCAGACCATTCAGGAATTCCTGGGTGTCCTGAAGGCTGGGCAAAAGCTCACTTCGGCCTGCAAGCGATGTGATCTGTTGATACCGTGGGTTTGTTTGATTCTAATGCTCAGTAAAGATAGCCTCATAGTGCTCACCGGATTTTACTGTGACAGTCATTTTGCAACTCGACGCTGGGCAGAGACGCGGTTTCAAAGATTAAAGAATGGAGACACATGGCAAGTGTCACCTCATCTACATTCACTCAAACCCTTTGGATGGGAGCATACGTTTAATCTCTTTTACAACACTGTCGGAATGGCTACCTCCGAAGCTGCTTTGGCATTCATCGTACAACGGCTAACTAAAATTTACACTTCCTATATCTTCCTGTTCGTTGCCGGTATCAAGACCTGCTGGTTTGCATTCAGTGTTGGAATGCATGTGATCGTTTCACAGAACCTGTCCTGGCTGCGGTAACCCGACGTGAATGGTGTCCTGCGTCTGCATGGACGTGGATTTCCCTGATTTCTCGCTATCGCGCACCAAGCAGAGCCCTGGTACCAAGTTTATACGCACATTTCAAAGTTAATAAATTTTAAGCAGTTTCTCTCACCACCGCTAACAGTCGCTCATCATCACTAACAGTCAAAAGGAATATCCACTTTCCTATTGGGTTGACCATGGGGAGTGCTACTTAGCTGTATTGCTGTTCATAACCAGGAGTGGGGTCGCTGTTGGGTGCATTGTTGAGCATCCTAGCTACCCGGAAGGAACGCAGTGGAACGCCAGGGCAGCCAGGAAGGCGGACAATGGTGCAGTGGGGCAACGAAATGATTTGTGAGCAGGCGTGAGCTTCCAGCACGACTCCGAACCTCTACTATTCCCCAGAACCAAAACTCAACCAGCTTTCTGCAAGCCTCCCGAGGGTAGAATGGTCCATTGTGACCATATAAGCCGGCCATCACTCACCAACCAACCCCCAGCTGTGCTGCGTGCGAGGATCAGGACTCGCATGCCCTGCACTGACATCATCCTGCATACGATAGCATGTAAACACCTAAAATTTGCTTCGCCTGGCCCTCTGCAATGCGCAAAATGCAATACCCCCCGCTCTACAGCAACTCGTTAGCCGAGGTGCTTCGGGGGGTAATTAGCAAGGCGGGGAGCACCTCGATTAACAGTCGGTGCGTAGTGCACTATACCCACTGGGGCGAAATGCAGCTCAGAAACAATTCCTTCAGCTTGGAATTGAAAATTTCCAGGGTGCCAATAGGGCTGTTCTCGTTGTCATTCATGAACTTCTGAAGTTCGTCGATGACGCGTGTGTGCATGGCTGAGCTCAATCACACTGCGCATGTTTGGGCTAAAGGGTTGTAGCAGTGTGTGCGTGTGTGTTTGGGTGGTGATGTCCAGTGATGCCCAATCATCATCCCGCACACTGCAGTGGATCCTATAGTTATTCCACGAGAGGAGGGGGGGAATGGACTCGCCCTTCCCGTTTTGCCAGACACGGAGGCACTCCGTGATGAAGTCGGTGAGCTCCTCCACTGTTGTTCCGCGGGGGGTGACATGCTGTCCACCTGGGTGTCCAGGAGGCATAAGTGTCGTGGAGGTCATAATCGTCATCTGCTGGATTCTACAGCCCCAGAAATGCAGAGCCCTTTCATGCACGGGGTAGGGACGACCAGACACCAGTGCTGTGGCAATGTGGGTGTGGGATGTTACCTTTGTAAGAGCAGGCATGCCATTTGCGAATAATGGCAGACTAACATGCAGTGTCGGTCATTTCATGAAAGAGAGCTCTGTCTCTGTCCGCCTCCTCCCAAAAACCCTGTTCGGCGGGCTCCCTCTGACTAAGACAGCACTGAAAGCCTATGTGGATCCAACATGCATAAAAACAGTTATTCATTCCTAGCTGTTTTACGATGGCGCGGCAGTGCATTTTCTCTTGCTCCTGGTACCCCCATCTGTAACATGGCTTAACATGGAGAAAATTTGCATACAGGAAATGTGAATACAGGAAATGCTTACCGAAAAGATTCGTAAAATATTCTAAATATTTGAAGCCATTACATTGTGCTTCGACGTGAACCTTGGTGCAACTGTCGGCCTTGTCGCGTCGGGGCAACGGAATGGTGTCGCGTCAGTTGTAACGACGGACGCGACAGACGCGACAGACGCGACAGCGCTAGTCACATTGGCACTTCTGCCATAAAATGCATGTGATATTCAACACGATGATACATATCTCTACATTTCCAGGCACCGAAATTACTCCGTGCAGTGCAATTCAAGAAGGTCGTAAACACTTATGCAGTGCGCAGAACCGTGAGCCGCTGTTTCGTTCGCCAATTCCAAAGCCCGGTGCATGCTGTGAAACTATGTTCGTGTAGATAATCATTATAGTACAAACAGTAAGCGATCACCATGGATCGGTCTCAGGATAGTCGCCAGCAGGCGATGCGCGACAGCGGACCAGGTAAATAAGCCCATGACCTGGCTCGTTGCGTTAGCCAACGCAGCCACCTCACTAAACATTACGCCCCTCTCGCTGCCCTGTCCGTCATGGCCCCTTCAGAATCCGACGTGAGATGGACCTCTACGGCACCACTCGACGCTTCTTCGCCATCACTTGAATTGAACATCACACCACAAGCAAATCCGCTGCCTGACTCCCTGCGCAATCTGGAGCTTGCATACGGCCACCTGTCCCCGCTGCGGCCCAAGAACCCCATCACGACCCGTGCCGCAAGCTCTGACGATAGCGGTAACACCAGCCGCAATCCTGGCCCCGCGCTCTATGATCGTTCCAGCTCCGGGGCCCAGCACCAACCCCTGCATGCCAACTCCTTGGCGAGCGTGAGGAACACACCCATATCGCGGCGTGCCACCTCCTCCTTGCCCTACGCGTCCAGTCAGTCACCCCTTCCGCCTTGTTACCCCAGACCGCCCATGCTTGATACACCTGCCTCCGTGGCCCGCCGGCCGCTATGCGACCTCATCCACAACACCGTTTGGGCTGTGGCGCGGGCGTATGGCTTCCAGGCGTTCAACGCGTGCGACCCGGCGTCCTCCCCTGGCACCTCTGACTCGTCGCCTGGGCCGCAATGGATGGCCGCCACAGCCTTTCTGGCTGCCGACCACCTTGAGGCGCTGCTGGTGCGCAACATCATGCCACGTTTTGCGGCGGGAGTGGAGGAACAGCCGGTGGCGGCTGGGAGCAGCGCCGAAACCAGCCCGCGAGGCAGTCCCAAGTCTGCTATGCAGCACGGAAACAATGCCATTTGCGAGTCACCTTCGCGACAACAGCAGCAGCAGCAGCAGCAGCAGGAGACACACTTCGCCCGCGCCGTGTGGGAGCTGCATTCCCACATATTTCTGTCATACGAGGGAGCCGATGGTTGGTGCCGGCACGTAGGCGTGTCAGCCCGGCCTGCGGCGGCGGAGTTGGACGTGCTGTCGTCTCGTCGCGACGCGGCAGATCATGAGGTGGTGCAGCTGCTGCTGTCGGAGCTGGCGTTGTACTTTTTGCTGTACAGCGAGGCCGCCAATCTGCGGCACACGCCGGAGCTGATGTGGTTTTTGTTCTGGGCGGCAATCCACAGCCCGGCCATGGAGCACTTGTGGCGGGAAGGGCTGCATCCCGAACAGGCGCTTAGCAACGCCCGACAGCGGCGGCTGACCATGAGGAACGCCCTCCATGCACAACTGAGGGCGGCGCAGGAGCGGCTCGGCCACGATCCCACAGCCTGCTATCCGGACCGCTGCGGCCAGGTGGCCGTACAGCTCGCCAGTCAGCTGCCGGATCTGATTTCTGTCCTCGGCCTCCCGCCACGTCAATACAACGACAGCTCGGATATCGCCTCTACCTCCACCTCCGCATCCACTGCGTCGACCTCCTCCGACCTGTCACTGCCCTGCCCCGCCAGCCGTCAGCTCTTCGTTGACCTGGCCTGCTATGGCGATGGTGGCTTCTGGACCGACGTGCTGGTTTCGCCTCTGTTCACGGTTTTGGCCTTCGAGGTGGACCTTATGGCATCCAGCGGTCAGGAGGTAGCGCACCGATTGGGCTACGATGACGTCAACGAATCCATGTGCCGTAGAGACGTGGTGGGGAAGCTGCTGGCGACGTTGGGTGTGTCGAAAGAAGCGGCGGCGGCCGGCCAAGTGCATGGTGTATTGGATGCGCTGACTCAGCTGGGCTACCCGCCGGCGGTGTCAAGTGACACCGGCAACTCGGCCGTGACGGCCGCAGGTGGCGCTGTATCCCGCGACCCGCGACGGTTCGACCCAGTGCTTGCCGCCTCCGTCTGGTCTGACAGCGTGTTCATCAAGACACACCGAGAGCGACGCAGCTGGGCGGCGCTGCTTCGCGCCTTTTACCGGGTGTACAGCCTACAGCTGGTGATGATGCATGCTACCATGGCGGTTGCCTTTGCGCCCGGCTCTTTGCGGGCGCTATCCAGCGCCGTGCTGACGCATGCGGTGGTGGCGGCGCTGGAGCGAACTGCCAACTGGTGGCTCACACGCGGCACCCGAGACCCTCTGCGGGCCGCTATGGCGCGGGAGAGCTGGACATCGGCGCCAGTGGAGCAAATCAACCAAAAGCGGGCGACGGACGAGGAGATGGGCGCAGCTGACGGAAAAAACAAAAATGCCTCCGCCGCAGCGGCTCCAAGCACCCTGTCGCGACGCAGTCGTCTGTCCGATGACGGTGCTGTGGAAACGCGGATGGAGCTGCGGCGGCGGACCGTGGTGGATGGTTCTCCAGTATGGGGCGGCGTATTTGGCTGGCTGGAGTGGGTGCTGGTTGCGGTGGCGATGCTGGGGTTGTTCGCCTTGCAACACATGGGCCCTGCGCCGCTGCAAGACATGGCCCGGTCCTACTGGCCCTTGGCGGCCGCAGGTTACACGGCGGTTGTGGTGGTGCACGGCCTGATCACCACCCGGGACGGCTACACGCTCTCCCTGAGCAGCGCATTGCGGCTGCCGGCCATATTCCGAGCCTCGTCACAGCGCGCCACTCCCAGCTCCTGGCTGCACCGGCCCATGGCAGTGGGATGGAGGGCGGCGCTGCTGACAGCGCTGTTCTGGATCCAGGTGCTCGGTGTCAAGGTAGCGTTTGACTACTTCGTCATCATGAAGCCCATGGCAGGCCAGGTAAGGTTTGGAAATGTAAGCGGCAAGTAGTACCCTCGCTTCCACCACGTCCACCGTGACTGTTTACTTTCTTAAGTGCCAGAGCTTACTACTTTCCTGTACACTATAAATGCTCTCCATTTGCGTTCGCATTGCACCTGGCTGCTTCCCTGTCCAAGCCTGTCTGTCCCTCCTTGCCTCTCTCCGGAACTCGTTCACCATCCCCAGGTCCGGCACATCCTGCGTCGCAACTGGCTGGCATGCCCCGGAAAACAGACCCACTACCGCCTGTTCGGTATGCAGCTGCCCATCCGATGTCTAGACGGCGATTGGCTGCTGGTGGCGCTGCGAGTGGCCCCCTTCGTGCTGGTGTGCCTGGTGGACACGCAAATCTTCTACCAGCTGATGCTCATGGTCTGGGGCCTTGTGTACGGCCTTGTGTCAATAAACCTGGGCATCGCCGGCTCCTGGGAGGGTCTGCGGTCCGAATTCCACCGGGCTCCTCTGCGCTGGTGGGCCCGATGCATGAGCGGCACGGCAAACAACGTTGCGCTTGCTGCGGCAGCAGCGATGGCAAGACGGCGGCGGCGGCAGGGCCTCATTGGAGGAAGCGGCTTCGCGGCCTGCCTAGACAAGGAGGACGAGGACAAGAATGTGTACGACGGCGGCCTTCCGTACCTCAAGGGCTTCGAGTCGTACAGTGCCAACAATGGCCGGATGATTGGCAGCTCTGTCAGCGACCAGGAAAGCGGCCCGCTGCTCGGTGGCGCCTGCCTGGATTCCTGTCCACGAACTGAACAGCCGACAACGCAGAGGACTTCGCCACGGGAGCCGCCTCCTGCTGCTGCTCCGGACAACGGCGATGGTGCTTCCGAGGCGTCGTCCTTTTTCACCTCGGCAAGCGACCAAAAGGGCAAGTCCAAGTCCAAGGGGCGTCACGCCGCGGCTGCCGAGCTGGTTGCCATGCTGGCAGGGCAAAGTGAGGAGCAGCTGGCCCAGTGGATGGCCTTCGCGGCAGCTTGGGATGAGGTTGTAGAGGACCTCCGATCCTGCGACCTCATCAGCGATCGAGAGAAGTCCAACCTGCTTTTTACGCGTCTACCGGCCGCCGCCACGTCCATGCTGGTAGCCACCGCCGCCACCACAGCCGCGGGGTCCAACACAGATGTCGCCTCGCCGCCCATCCCGTCCAGCCCTGGCTCTGTCGCCGGCAGCGACCAAAGCAGGTCTTCTGGTGGCAACTTTATCACCGCGCGGCCGCTGCGTCCCTTCCTCCTACCCGCCTTCTTCTACTCAGGTCAGATCCAACGAGTGGTGGACACGGGCGCCGCCAGCCCCTCCCAGCAGCTGGTGCTAGCAGAGCTGCGGTCGCTGCTGGTGTGGCTAGGCTGCCAACTGCGGCTGCTGGACGGGCCCCAGGCGGCTGCGCTGCTAACTGCCGCTTGCTGCCCGGCAGTGTTGGACACTGCCCACAGTCGCAGCCGGGAGAAGGGCCTGGCGGCGCTACGGTCCCTGGTGGCGAGCATGCAAGCTATGACGGAGCCGCCGCCGTGCTTGGATACGGGCAAGGGCCGGGGGAACCGCGGGGCGGCGGACGTGGAAGGCTGGCGGCGCTCGCTGTACTCCGAGGCAGCGGCGGCATTGGATGGTGTGCTCGCGGCGGTGGAGGTGGAGGCGAGAGCGGTGTTGAAGGCGCATTTGGGCGCCGCCAAGGGCAAGAAGACCGCCGCCACCAGTAACAGCAACGGCAACAGCAACGTACCACCAGCCCAGGGCCACAGCAGCCAAGGGCTGGATGGAGCCACGGCGGATCCGCAGTCCAAGGCAGTCGCGCTGCTGGAAGCGGTTTCGGCGCTGCGGATGGATTTGGCGGGGCGGCCGGAGCGGCTGTCTGCCGCACTGGCGCTACTGCACCCTGAGAATGGCGGCTCCGCAAAGTCCTGCCCTTCGTCCCCAACCCCCACCTCCACTCCCACCTCCACCTCCTCCCTTTCCTTAGTCAGTGTGGACTTGCCGCTGCTGGTCCGTGTGCTCTCCACCGCCTCCAAGATGCTAAACCTCAGCAGCGCGGCTGCGCAGCCCACCGGCTCCGAGGCACGCCGCATCCTGGGCTTCTTCATCACCTCGCTCGCGAACCGTCAACTGTCCAAGCCCTGCCCCGTGGCCTGCATGACCTCCTGGACAGTGCTCACCCCGCTGTACGCTGAGGATGTTCTGTTTCCGCTGGAGGCTGGCCAAGTAGCGGAGGCACTGGGGCTGGAATCCATCCGCCCTTCCGGGTCGCGAAGCTGCCACCCTGCCTCCTTACTGCCCGACCTGCTGTCCGAGACTGAGGAGCACGTGTCGCTCATGGCGTACATTCGCTCCCTGTACCCGAAGGACTGGGATAATTTTAAGGAGCGGCTTGGGGCCGGCCTGGGCGGCCTGGACCTGAGTGTTGCGACCGAGGCCGACTTCATGGATGGTGGACCGCTGGCGGAGCACGCGTTATCACTGCAGCTGTGGGCCTCCTACCGCGGCCAGCTGCTAGCGCGAACCGTGCGCGGCATGGCGGCGTACGAGCGGGCGTTGCGGGTGCTGGCAGCAGTTGAGAGCCCCCGGCCGCCCGGGAAGAGCCCGCGTGAGCATGCGGCAGAGATCGAGGACTGCGTGGCATCCAAGTTCACCCACGTGGTTGCTAGCCAGTTGTACGGACACAACCGCCGCTCGTCCAACCTGCGGGAAAGGTGGTTGGCGGAAAGCACGGACTTGCTGCTGGAGGCCTTCCCGTACTTGCGAGTGTCGTACGTGGACACGGTCCCGGTCGATAAGAGGCTGACGGCAGCACTCGTGGCAGGGGGGGCCTTGGCACCGCCGCCGTCGCACCAGTACGCTGTACTGATCCGGGGCCGCAGGTCCCTCGGGGAAGCGGCATCCGCTGGCGGTAGCGGTTGGGGACGTACGGAGGAGTTATACCGAGTGCGCCTGCCGTACAACCGGTACAGCAAGCGTGGCATCATCCTGGGTGAGGGCAAGCCCGAGAACCAGAATCACGCGGCCATCTTTTGCTTTGGCGAGGCGCTTCAGACGATCGACATGAACCAGGACAACACGTTAGCGGAGGCGCTCAAGATGCGGAACCTGCTAGGGGAGCTGGCTCCGGATCGCGATACGCGGGCGGCCAAGAGGGCGATGGTGGCGCTGCAGGCAGCCGTGGACGGGTCCAACGTTGGCGATGGCGCCAGTGGCTCCCTGCCCGCCGCTGCTGACTTACGGCAATTGCTCAGCGACTTGCGCAGCGTGGAGCGGCCGGTTGCAGTGGTTGGCTTTCGTGAGTGGGTCTTCAGCGACAAGGCGGGTGCGCTGGGCAGCTTCGCGGCCAGCAGCGAGTTTGCGTTTTCCACCATGGTGCAGCGGACCATGGCCTACCCTGCCAATGTGCGACTGCACTACGGCCACCCGGACGCGTTCAACAAGTTGTTCGTCATGACGCGGGTGAGGAGATGGGAGAGGCATCAGCTCTCGGCTTTTGCACTGGAGAGTTCTGAGTTCGGAGAGACGCCTCCCCATGTCTTGCAATGCAACTGACCTGTCTCCTGCCGTTTCCTTATCCCGGTATTTCTGTGTGCCGTGTTGTATCGAAAATCCTATCCTATCCTCTTCATCACACCTCTTCCGCGACATCCCCTGCCGGCCTTATGGGCTCGGTACACCTTTGGAGGGTAAAGCAACTGAAAGGTGTCACACACACACGCACACACACACACGCACACACACACACACACACACACACACGCACACACAACATTGCTCTGGCGGTACCACTCTCTGTCCTTCCACTTCTTTTCCTTAGCACCTGATCCCTCAGCTTACCTCCCCCGCTCTTCTCACAACTATCTCCCTCTCCATCGGGGCCCAGGGCGGTGTTGCCAAGGCCACTCGTCAGCTGCACGTGTCTGAGGACATCTTTGGTGGCATGAACCACAGCCTGCGCGGCGGCCGCATCAAATTCCGCGAGTACGTGAGCTGCGGCAAGGGCCGCGACATGGGCTTCGACTCCATCAATGCTTTCGAGTCCAAAATCAGCTCAGGCTTCGGCGAGGTAGCCCTCAGCCGCGACCTTCTGCGCATGGCCACCCGGGTCGACCTGTGGCGCTGTCTGCACCTGTACCACTCCCTGGCCGGCAATTACTTCAACACCTGGCTGGTTATGGGCTCCGTGTACGCGCAGGTGTATGCGGTGCTATTTTTTTCGCTGGCAGGTGCAGCCGTACACCGTTACGTCACGTACTATCCCTCACCGCCGGTGCCGCCGCCAGCCAGAGCGCCTATGCCACCACCAGCCGGACGGCCCGGCGCCGCAACATCGGCGATAGCGCCGCCGCCGCCGCCGCTTTTGGTGCATGATTCTTACGCGTACGACACCATTCGAGTGGAGCACATGCTGCAGATGGGACTTCTGCTGCTGTTGCCGTACTTGGCCGAGATCGCTCTGGAGCACGGACTGTTGCGCGGCTTGCTGGCGGCGCTTGGACAGGTGGTAAGCGGCTCCTTCACCTTCTTCATCTTCAAGCAACAGACCACCACAACCGCCCTCCATCGCTCCATGCTGTACGGCGGCGCAACCTACATCGCCACAGGCCGTGGATTTTCCATCACCTCCTCCTCCTTCATCAAGCTCTTTGCCAATTACGGTCGCTCCCACATCTCCCTGGGTTTCGAGCTGGGCGCCATGGCGGTGGCGGTAGCAGCCACGTTGGACTGCTCCAGCTGCTCCTATGCGGGTCTTACGTGGGGCACCTGGCTGGCGGCGCTGTCGCTGGTGCTGGCGCCCTGCTGGTTCAATCCCATGGCGTTCTCGCCCGCCAAGGTCAAGCGCGACATGCACGCCTGGGCGGCCTGGCTTCGTGGAGAGGCGGACCGCGAGCTGGGCTGCACCTGGCACCAGTGGAATCGGCTGCAGCTGTCGGACTCGCGTGATGACGGCGGCACACAGACGGACCGCTGGCTCAACGTGCTGCAGAACGTGGCGCTGCGGGTCGTGCCCCCCGCGCTGCTGGCCCTGGCCGCCGCCTCTCGCCTCGATCTACGCTTGGAGAAACTGCCAGCGCTGCTGGGGCCGTTGCGCAGCGCATGGCTGCTGTTCCTCGTCGCCAGCGCGCTGCTGTGGGGTACGCTGGCGGCGGCGATCTCCACGGCGCGGCGATCTAGCGATGTGTCGGACCAGCGGCGCTGGCGGTTGTGGGTGTTCTGGGTGGGCACGCTGAGCAGCCTGGCGGTGGCGGTGTTCCTGTTTGGCTTGGCACATTGGTACTCGGGCAACGGAGTGGCGAACCTGTTCGTCATCCTGTACGCCAATGCCAATCTGCTGCTGGCGTTACATCGGGCCGTGGAGCATTTGGCGCCCCGGTCGCCCTCGTCACGGCGGCTGGTAGACGGTGGGTACTGGCTGATGGACTGCAGTCTGGGCTGGCTGCTGCTGGGACTGTTGGGGGCGCTGAGCCTGGTGGGCGTGGTGGCGCGTGTGCAGACCACCATGTTATTCAACGTCACGTTTGCGAGGTCGGTGCGGCGGGGCAGCCTAGTCAAGACCATTGGCATGTCAAAGGCGGAGCGCAGGCAGAAAGAGGCCGTGCTGGGGATGATGATGGGCCAAGAAGGCCCCGGCAGCAGTAGTAGCAGCAGCATGGGGGCTGAGGGACGAGAAGGGGGCGACGGCATCGGGCAGGGGACCAAGGCGGGTAGGGCGCAGCTGCAGCGGGCGTGATGTACGGCAGCTGACACGTAGGACGTAGCCATTTCATAGTATTGGGTGGATAAGAGACTATTATGACGTGATCTTGCTTGCTAGCTAGGGATGAAGCTGACATTGAATTCTTCTCGAGCCCGTCCGAGCGTTCCTGCGTCAATGCCGTGTGTGCCTCAGCAGCCAGACGTTATACTGGACATTGTTTATAAGTGGTGGCTCTGGCTTCGTTCGTGACTTCATACGTGGTAAATTGGCCCACACGGATGAATCAGGTCTTAGGAGTTTGGGGCTTGTTCCTTTGGTACAGCGTCGTGTCCTACACCTAAGCTGAGTCGCTGTAGCTCCGACGAGCTCTATCGTTGGTCGTGGTTAATAAGAAGGGTGATGGCTTATACATGCTAAAGTATGAAAGTGAAATCCTGTATATGATGTTATGGATAGAGTTATAGCGCCGATGCCTTGCTTGCTACATATATGTGTGTATGTGCGTGTGTGTATGTGAGTGTGTGTGACATGGTCGTAGGGGTGCGTACCCCGTACCTGCAAGCCGCCCAATACGAGCCGAGGGCTCAAGGGCTGCCAAATCGCCTATAAGGACCATCCTACCTCGCACTTCAAACGAAACAAGTGATGAAGGAGACTAACGACCAAAGGGAACGATAGAGTTGCGGTGGCACCACATACTATCACCTATTTTTGCTTCTTTATTTTGGTTTCTTGTAATTGGGGGACTTTTCGGGCTCAGGCCTCATCTAGCAACAACGTGCAAGATCGGTGGTAGCCTTGGCTGCCCTGATCGTTTCAGGTGCAGAAATGCACGGCCCGCTGGCCCCCTGGCTCTACTCTTCGTGAGTCTGGAGCCCACTGTAACAACCACAGTCCAGCATCTTCGCCAGACGTTCAGGTTCCCATTTCATAGCGTCCTTCATATCCTCAAATATCCATATCAGATCTGATTTCGCCATACACCATCGAAGCCCCTCCCTCGAACACTCAGGCATCTTTGGCGATAACTGTATCTACATATGCTCAGTGGGCCACCTCCTCGATATATCTATGCCAAATTGGTGTGCTAAAGTTGTAGCTGGCAGCTGGCAGCCAACAAGAAATGGGGTGAACGGATGGGGTGAACGGATTTGGGTGCCCCTCTAGCAGGGGAGAGCAGGGAATTGCCTCGGGAAGGAGGCCACTGGTGAAGCTGTACCACCCTGTAACAACAACAACAACAACAACAACAACAACAACAACAACAACAACAACAACATCCGCCATGGAAGTCGGCAGGTGCTGCCTCCGAGCAGCAACCCGGCGACAGGGACGGAGGGGGGCGACAGCAACGGCAGGACCGCAGCAGCAGCAGCGACAGCAGCAGCAGCAGCGACAGCGACAGGTGGTGGGGCAGCCCCAGCAACAGAGGTCCCGCCAGCGGGCCATCACAGATTTCTTCACCCCGGCGGGAGGTGCAATGCAGCAAGAAGGACCCACCCTAAACGCCCCAGCGGAGGATGGGCCAACGCAGGAAGCAGGGGCGGGAGGGGGCGAGGCGGTGGCAGCAGCAGCAACGGCGGGCGCAACAGGAGCCTCGCCACTGGCCCGCGCACGCGCCCGGGCGGTGGCAGACTTCTGGGCGCGTTTGCGCTCGTTCGCAATGCTGGAGACCCCCAGACACGGCTGGGACAGAGTCGGGCCGCAGCACCCCATCCTGGCGGTCGTGGAGGAACGGATGCGGTGCGCAGCACCGGTGGAAATCACGGCCTAAATAGCCGAGATAGAGTCGGATCGAGGTCTTACCGGAAAGGGAGCAGGGAGAGTGAGGGAGGGGGTGAGAGAGCCAGGAGTAGGGATAGGTGAGGGAGCGAGGAGAGCAGGGAGGCCCTGGGCAGTTGGAGGGCTGGGCGAGAGGGCAGTGCCCTGAGCGTGGTCTAGCAGGGGGAGTTGAGGACCCGGGCTGTGTGTGTTTTGTGTACTCGTGTGGTTGCCCTCTCCCCGGGAATTGGGGCCCGTCGGAGTGAGGGGAATGGGTTCTGTGCTGTCTGGCATCAGAGTAGAGAACACGTAGGTGGCTTGCGGGAGTGGAGAGGAGGTGGGAAAGCGGTGGAGGAGAGTGGTTTAGAGGTGGAGAACAGGTGTTGCTGGTCCCGGCCGGTCAGGGTCAGGAGGGGAGGGATTCCGGTGTGGTAAGCGGGAGCAGGCGGCGTCTGTGAGCCGTGCCTTTTCCGGGCTTTATAGGGGGGCGCCGTGCTGGCTTGTCATCCCCCCCGCGGCTATAGGTGTTTTTGCTGTGTCTCGCGCTGGGCTGCATCCGAGAGCCTGCAACCCCCAGGAGGAGACTGGCGTGCGGACCAGTTTCGCCTCGTTTGTGAGTGGACCGGCGAGGTAGTGGTGGCCACCCTCGGGAAGTGTTCGTTGTTCGTTGCTCGTGGTAGTTGAACAGCTGGCCTTCGAGGACCAATGTGCGAGTACTCGCTTTGTGTTGGTCTTTTCTGTGCAACCGTATCTCGGCTTTTGTGGTGTGTCGTCTCAGGCCCGTGGTCCTCCGTGTGTCCCTTGCCTTGCTGGCTGCGTGGGGCCCTGGTTCTTTTGTGTGTGTAGAGGAGGCCCCCGAGTAGAGCCCCTGCCCCCGGTGGTGTTTTCTTTTTGTTCTGGTTTTGGTGGTCAAGAGGGACGAGAGCGCGTGAATAGGCAGGCCAGGCGAAGTGGCGCCTTTCGTGCGGTTCTTGCATAGATCGGTTTGCGCCGCTGTGTTGCCTAGCCAGGGGCTGGGAGAGTGTCCCGGTTGGCGTGAGTGAGGGATCGAGGCGCGCGCGGAGGAACAGACGGACGTAGAGCCGCGCGCCCATCCCTGCGCTGTGTTTCGGCCCGGTCAGGGCCCCCGGTGCTCGTCCTTTATCGGGCGAGCCGCCCACAGTGTAACACCCCATCAACAACAACAACAACAACAACAACAACAACAACAACAACAACAAAGCAAATGTAATATTCGTTAAAACGCGACCACGAACTGCCTATGGCTGACCTCGCCGACCGCGGCAAAAACGGAGAACTCTCGAAAATTATGCTTGAGTTAATATAGGCCAGAATGGCAGAAAATGGGCAGGCGCGGACCTCCGCGCCAAATGAACGTTCAAATGGACGGGCGACAGCCCCAGCTGCTCGCCAACAACCAAGCCGCGCCCAAGCGGAACGAAAGTTTGTGACATCGACATAATAATGGAAACGGTTCCAGAAGGAACACCATTTCATGCGGAACAGGACCAGGTTACCATGGAAATCCATTGGCCGGCCGGTTCCGACCCCGCGGACATACAAGCCCAGCTACATGGACCAGTGGGCAAGGCCATTTTAAACAGATTACGGGCGATAATACCGCCCGTTGAGGCAGAGGGGCTACTCGGGCCGCGAATCAGCAAATGCCCGCAACGGGCACTCCCCAGCGGCGTGAAGGTGCAAGAAATCAGCATCTTGATCCGGAAAGGTGGTCTCGCAATGCTTACCACCTCGCCAGCAGTCCGGAGGGGACGGCTTCACCTGGGGCCAGTCCATCTCCTACCCAGCAGCCCCCCGGTGGAAGTGGAGCTGCCCATCACGAACCTGTACAAGGCGGAACGGCCCTACTGGGAGATCAAGGGGATCCCCACCTACATGGATCACAGAGTCATCCCTGGTTTCCTTGCCGCCTGCTACTCCACTCAGTGGTTCCGGTGGGATGAATCAGACATCCATGAGCTGAATCCCACTATGATGGCAGACACCTGGCGAGTCAAGGTGGCGCAGGACACCCCCGGCCTACCGGGTGAAAAACACTTCGAACTCGGCAGGCCGGGGGAGGCAACCAGGCCCGGCATACTGAGGGCTTCCAGACTGAAATTGACCGATCAGGAGGGACCCTTCACTATGCCGTGCAAAGCACCACCAAGGAAGGAGCTGGCGCGCCAGACACAGCAGTTACAGCAAATGCGACAGCAGGGCCATGCTGCACAGCCTGTTGCTGCCCCAGGCCAACCAGGCCCCTCAAACGGGGGAGGGCCCTCGTATGCAGCGGCCGTGATGCGGTCAAGGTGGGGCATGGAGACGGCCATGGGAGCAGGACCCCAGCTTGCACCCATGGGGAGGGGTCTCAACCCGGAGCTGCAGCCGTATATCACACCCCCACCCGTGCCGCCTGCATCAGCCATCACCACCACCAATGTGGCCACCATCATTACCACGGCCGCAAACACCCCAGCCGCCATAGCAGCTACCAATCATGCAGCCAGCAACCCCGCCGTCCCTGCGCAGCCAGGACAGGCGGCCCCTGCAACTGCTGCAATGGTGGGACCCCAGCAGGCCCCGCCCCGGCTGCAGGCCCCGCCGCAGCTGCAGGCCCCGCCGCAGCTGCAGGCCCCGCCGCAGCTGCAGGCCCCGCCGCAGCTGCAGGCCCCGCCGCAGCTGCAGGCCCCGCCGCAGCTGCAGGCCCCGCCGCAGCTGCAGGC